ACATGGCTGACGCTACGTAGATCTCCAACAGACACCTGCGACCTCTGCAAAAGCCTCCATCAAGATCGTTGTACCGGAGCCCGCTCCACAAGCCGGGAACCATACCCTCACCTTTACCTCCGGCACCGCTCGCGACGATCAGCAGAACATAACCGGTCTATTGCGCAAATGGATCGAGGCTTCCAAGCAACAGGCTGCTCCCGCCCCAGCTCCTGCTGCTGCTGCTGCTGCTGCTGCTGGGGAGGGAGGGGACGGCGGCGCATCAGCTGCAATGGCCATGGCTCAGACCGTAACAGCTGGCGGCAAAGACAACGAAGAAAACTACGACGATGCGAAGCTGCTCGCTGATACATCACTCCAGATGTCGCTACTCAATTCGAGCCCAGCGCTTCGACAACGCTTCGACCGAGCGCTAGCGGAGAAGCCTGATTCCGTTGGCGTATTACAGTTCTCTATGCAATTCTGGTCTACTCGCGTGCACATGTTGAGATCACACGCAACGGAAAGATCGCAGTCTACTGGAACATACAACGTGCTTTCTGTCATCAAGTCAAAGTCGGTCAACGGCACTCTCATGCTGAGCTTGACGAAAGAGCAGATCGAGCTGTTGTTCAGACAGCATCCGGTTGTGCAAAAAGCCTACAACGAGAACGTGCCCCAGCTGAGCGAGGGTGACTTTTGGGAGAGGTTTTTTCACAGTCGCTTAATGAAAAAGCTCAAGGGAGAGCGCATCCAAGAAAAGGACGTGCTTGATCCCAAGCTTGACAAATACCTGACTTATGATGAGACGATGGACAACCAGGATCTGCTCGCCGCCTCAATTCCCAACTTCATCAACATCGAGGCGAATGAGAACAACCACAGCCAGAAACAAGGCAACCGGCCCGACTTCACCATGAACCCGACCAACTATGAGAAAGCGCCCATTCTCCGAGTCTTGAATCGCATGAGCGAGAAGATGATGAAGGAAGTGCCACCCTCAGACTCAAGTCGGCATGGACCTGCCGGGTTGGATGAAGAGACATACAAAGAGCTGCAGTTGCGCGACCTACAGCGTGCAGATGATGACAACAGAGTCGTTCTTCGGGTACAAGACCAGAGTAGATTCTTCTCTGCCGGTCAGAGCGTGCATACCTCTACTAGTGCTGCAACTTACACAAAACGTACTCCTGCACAGGCTCTTTCGACGTTGCAGCAGGATCTTCGCAAGTTTAGCAGTGACGACGGCAAGGTGTTGAGCGTTGACCTCCACTCTACAATCGATATCGATGATGAAAGCAGTAGCGATGAAGAGGGGTCTGCTCCAAAGAAGACCAAGGTTGGTAGCAAATCAGCCCGAAGTGCAGCCTCTTCGCAAATTATAGCGGCTGTCAAGAAACGACATTTGCACAACGATGACTATTCATCGTCCAAGTCTATCCCCACGAGCGAGCGAGCGAAGGAGCTCCATGTCTCCGAGGCTGTTCTTGACAACCTCACCATGACCCACAACACAACGGTTGAATTCCTACACTACTTCTGGTCTGTATTCTACTCAGGGGACCCAGACCGCGCGAACGAGATTGCGCGTCTTATCGAGACGCTAGACAAGTCACTCGATCGTATCAAGGCGGTGGCTGACATGGCAGAGGCCGACCGCGCAGCCAGGATTGAGCATGCCCGGAAGGAAAATGAGTTTGCTAACCAGCGAGAGAGGAAGAAGAGGAAGTTCGATCCCGAGGCCATCAGAGGAGGAGCCAAGGCTGTCAACCAAATCGTGGACCCCTTGCTTCGAGCGATCGACGCGGCGCGGAGTCAGTATCAGAAGGCTCTTCAAGAACAAGTCGCACGTAGTACGGCGAACGCAGCTGTTTGATTGCATATACAGGTTGTATTTATTGGAGACTGCAAATCTTTCTATTTTTGCATAGCGAAGGCGTTTGGAAAACCCGGGCTGGTGTTGATCGACTAAATATTTTCGTCAGCAGTCGTCACCCACCCTTCGACTTACATGTGCTTTCCCAAAGCACCTATACTTCCGCGGTTAAATATCATGCAATTTGGTCGCTGGTTGTGTCAAATGTCTCGAATCATGGCTGTCACAATGTGCCGGTATTATTACAAACAGTTTTAGTACGCGATCAATTCGAATTGCGACGGAAGTTGTGAGAATGTTGTTTTAGGCCTTCAGTAAATTTGGTTCATTTAACAAATACTATCTGCGGCTCAAGTGATGTTGGGAGTGCCGATGCCCACCTAACAGCCATCTACGTCGGCTACTGCGCGAACTTGTAATGATCGACATGGGTTGCACGAAAATGGTCAGCCCATGACTAGGATCACGGAAAACGAAGCTACAAGCTACAAAATATCGGTATGATCAATGCTTCATTGGGACTACACACTTCAAGAGGAGAATTTTTCCGGATTCTCTATCTTCTTGTAAGTAGTTGTTAAACCCCACCTCCGCTATGTTATGCTTCCTTGCTCTCGATCGCGCGACCTCATCACAAGAGCTCAGATCTGACGGCTCATCCCGCCTGCCAAAGCGAACAGCTTCCTGCTAGTCCGGACTGTTACGGCATTGGACCCCTGATCCAGAATCTTGCCCCACCTATTCTGTAACTTGACCATGGACATTTTCTTAGAGGAACCTCACTTTTACTTCGTACCTCTGCAGTGTCAATTGACACAACTGAACCACGGAAGCTCAAAGGAACCGATTTGTGATGCGAGGATGATGCGTGTATGTATATATGTATATATATATATGTGTGTGTGTGTGAGAGAGAGAGAGAGAGAAAAGGGATTATGAAAAACAACAGAGGACGTCATCATCAATCTTAGGAAGGCAGGAACGACTGCGACCAACAGCGGCCAGATCGAAGTAAACGTCTGTGGAAACCAATAATACGGAAACATCGAATGGGGAATATACATCAAGTATTAAAGTCGGAAGAAAAACACAAGCACGAGAAGCATCCACCAAAGAGCAGACAAATTTTCCGAGTGAACCGGAACCGCAACACCTACATCGCCCAACATGAGCAGAACCTACGATAAATTCTCAACATCTAAAACAAGAGATATCGTCGCAGGCAGAATTGCTTCTGTCTTCGGAAGTCGCTACGGCCACAAGCGGAAAGTTTGCGTCGATCACCCTCGATAATAGTCGCGCGCTGGATCATAGTATAGCTGCGTTCCTGCCATGTGTCAGCGAATGCAACATGGATTTTATGTCACGGATCCCTTTGGAGTACAGCAAACTTACTGCCGTTATTTGATCCAACTCCACCTGGGGTGGCCCTTTCCCTTGGTCGGTTATCCCTGTATAGACGATGAGCGTTGTTCTGGTTCATACCAGGGCCTTCGTCAACCTACCTGTAGCGGAAACTGTGCCAAAGGTACCACCTCGCAACCCAGTTCTCTTCATTGACCTGGGTCCAGTAACGACCCATATCATAATACGGTCTCGTTTCGGCGCAAGCATCGCGGACAACCGTCAGAATCTGCGAATGCTTGGCAGTTTCCGATATCTCGTCCCATCTATATGGCTCTGCTACGGAAGGGTCGGCTCTAGACTGCTCGGTCAGGCTGTAGTAATTCGAGCTCAAAGCGTTTCGAGCAACCACGGCTTCGTTCTATGCGCGACAAAAGAGTCAGCGGACAGCTCTCGAACATCGGCTTGAGACTTACAAGTAGCAACTTGTGTGTATGTTCGTTTAGCCCGAGTCGAGCGCAGATGGCACTCTTGTCAGCGCTTTGGGGAAGAGGAGGCAGGGTCATGTTCAGGCAACGTTCCCTAAAAGGATCGTTTATCCCACCAGCGATACGAAGGTGACTGTTGAGCCTTGAACAGATCCGAACAGGTATGAGGAAAATCGGGTTGCACTCCCTTTGTCTTTATATCTCATATAGAGATCCTTGAAGGCCGGCAGATCTTCTGGAGTTGCCGTTATGTGACAGCAGAGATCCATTGTCTTCCCATCCCGCTGTGACACGGCGCATACGCCACAGCACGAGATAATTCAGATCCCATCAGAAGGATATCGACTAATACCACCATTACTCGTCCGGCTGAGGCGCCATTCCATAAAGGTGGCTTGATATGCAGCTAGCGAATCCTGGGTGTCATGCTTGGTCAACACCGATCTATTGACGTGGATAGGGTGTATCACCTGGCTCTCGCGTATCCCAATCTGCAGTAACGGGAGGTGTATGCGTTAGAGGCTATTACCCTGACTTGCCGCAAGGATGTCGCTCCAGATCCATGGGATGTGCAGTGCTTTCACACTGGCATGTAGATCTCTCCACATCATCATACCGTCCTGTTGGCGCTAGCTAAATCGGCGGTAGCTCTTCCTAGCCTGACGAACAAAACAACATCCGCCATGCAACTATCGGGCCGCTAAGTCGAAGGCCTAATGCAGTTCCGAAGCCCAGTTCAACGGACTTGAGCGCTGGTCAGATATGAGTACGACAAGCATTTACTGCTGGGAGAGAGATGACTACATCGAAGACTTTTCGGGTCCAACGTATACTAGCCACAAGCGAAATGCACGATTACACGGCTCACCACATGGCGTTTTCAGCGTTTTCAGCGGATTTCGGCTCGTCACGATTAGCAGCTGCGAATCGCTGACGCTGGTTCAAGTCGACGTCCCTTGAAGCTGGGGTGGATTGAAGACAACACGTGGGTTCAAGTCAACACGGGCCGACCTGAGTCATGTCTTCTCACAGGAATGATGTGTCAGTTCATGTGTACAGATCAGCAAACCACAACCTATTTGAGGGAGCCAAGTAGGGGTATACTTGCAGCATGTCTAAACTCCAAGCCCCTGCGAGCAAAATGGGCGCCGTATCCGTACCCAGCCATACAAGGTAAGGATCGTCGTCAAGTCTAGGTCAACCGGCAGTGCTCTCAAGCGACCAATGAAACCAAGTCCAGGGCGTCTCGAGGTGCCAAAGAACAGTCACGGCTGAGGCGTCCAAACCGTTGTAGCGACATTAAATCAACGGACATGAGCAACCCTGCTATCGTCTATTCGAAACTCAAGGTATGTAGTTTGTTTGGGGCGGTTCATATGGCTGACGCATATGGCAGATTCACCAGCTTCTAGAAACAATCGAAGATCTCGCTGTGCCGACTAACTTCACCCATCCCTAGTGTTAGCCAAGCCGGTGTGAATACGATACTCCAGCGTCAGCGCACGGATGCTTCCCGGTACCCCGTAAAGTGAACCTGCCGAAGTTTAACACCGGTCAGATACCTGATGAAGCTGCCCCTTGCGCAGAACTACTTCGTTGGCTAATAGGTTGACGTGCAGGGAGGTTTTTTTCTTTCCTCTTTTCGGTGTGTTCAGCCTATACTATACCTACTAGATGGATTCGAAGCTGACGTATCGACTATCATCACTCTAGCGGTGATAGGTGGCTTCCGCGGCGTCACTACACCCAACTCACTGGTGCAATCACCCTCCAGATTAGGAAATACTGTGACTCGATGGTCACCCCTGCATTGAAGTCTTATCAGAACATCGCTGGATTGCCCGAATCGTTCACCAGGACTTTTGAAGGAATGTGAAGCTACAGGGAGGAGAGCATGTACCAACAGCCACATGTGCTCGGCACTTGACTTCATAATCATCACAGCCCTGGCACGCCCACGCTTCCAGGTGAACCTTGTCGACATGTAACCCTGCCGCTGCACTAAGTTCTATGGTCTCTGCGGGTACTGCGTCAAACTAGTCTTTCACCAAGACGCTGCAGACGAGCCTAGAGGAAAGAGACCGTTTTGTCCGTTCAGGGACGGGTTGTATACATTACGAGCGGAGCGACCCACTTGTTCCCGTGGCCAGGTCCCTTGAAAGGTTTCGGATGCTTTTGCCGGTGTACGCTAGACCCTGAACGCGCAGCCTACTGAAGGGTAGCTTTGCAGGGACAACCATTCAATCTTGGTCAACTGCGGAACTCTGAAGATTATATCAAGATCTTACTACTAAGTCTCGATCTTATGCTGTCATCGTCGGGTGGCACGCGTTACCGACAGATATGGGTTATGACCTCGCAGCGGCACTAACAGAGGACAGGGAAGCCTGGGGCCTAGAGTTTGCGTGGAGGCGGGAGCAGCCACCGCACCGTAAGCAAACAAAAAGCGACGTGTTCACGGGAGGGTCCGACGTAGGGCCAAAAGGCAGGCAGTCTTGCTTTTGCATATCGTTACCAAAGCTGGGAATACTCGTGGGTTTCCGAGCTGGGTGCAGGGAGCATTTTGATTGGATGACCTTCCGCATGTCGCGTCAGATATCGCTTGCGCCTAGGAGGCACAGAAAACTGGACCGACATCTTAGGCTTACTGCGGTGGTCATACGACTGAAAGGGCTTGATTAGGCGAGTACTTCGCCCTTGGTGATGACATCTACCCGCCATCTCCGAAATGGCGAGTGAGCAGCCACGAGATACGACAGGGCGGTTGCGTAGGAACATATCGCGGACACTCCTGCCTAAACCATACAACCTCGGAGAGGGCGTTGTCGGATGTCTGCTGCTTCCTAGGATGCCTGTACCGCACAAACAAAGTTGCTGCTATCGGCAGGGTCCCACACTCATGCACGTTATGATCTAGCATCGATCGGATCTCATCTTTGGCAATATATTCATGGCCTGACATGAGCATGACGCCTAACGCACATCCCCGCAACGCCAATTTACTGGATTGCAGCAACCGCCAGGAACCCGCATGTGGTCCAGCTGCATCAGATCTGTCCGGAGCGAATGCGGATCCGCCATCTCGATCGATTCATGCCTCGCATCCGGATCCTTTCGCCTATTACAAGGCTTTCGTAGATACGAACTCCTCGCGCATTCGACCGCAACCGCAAGCACAAGGGGGCGACGGACATCGTGTTGCACAAGACCACGATGGTTACACCTGCCATGATATTTCCGGGGCTGGATACGAGCAGCAGGATATGGACTACCAACAACAGGCCAGAGTTCGAGCCGTTCCCTACAATCTTGCCGTCCGGCTCGCAAATCGCTCCAATGGGGCGCCCTTGGCAACCATTGCGGAGCAGGGTTCTTACTCCACGCTAAACTCCCACGGCTCCCTCCTCAGTGTCGGCCGCTTACCTTCGCTGCGTGTGGTGGAAAATACCTCACCAACCCACGCTCCGAACAAACTTTCCCATACTTCAGAGCATCGTAATCTTCTGCGCGTCACCGAAGACACTCACCTTGAGCACGTGCTAGACGCACCAAGCAAAGGGTACGATGTGCCTTTGCGCAAGGATCCCAAAACCTCTCCCCGGGTTGATCATGCCGCTACACAACCTGCGTTAAGCACTATTCAGCCTTCACAATCTACAGCGTATCAAATCGGCAGGAGAGACCCCGAAGCAAATTCCAGGGATGTGAAAAGCTTCTTTCGTGGCGTTGTACATAACGTTCGAGCTGCCTCGAGAACCCTGTCTAGATCGTCTTCGATGCAGGCATCGCTCAATGAGCACTACGACGACCGGCCGGAGACGAGCGAGGATAGTCCATACAGCCATTTATCCGCTTCTGACATGTCTCAACTGAGCGATGACAGACATGACACGCCATATCGTATGCCCAGTGCATCTCAGTCCCTGAGCGCAACTAGACTGTTAGCTCCCGTGGATCAGACCAGAAATGGGCAGATTTTCATGGTGGATCCTAGATCTTCAGCTGATGCGATGCCATCCTTACTTGATGCCAAAACGTATCCGCTGGAGTCGCAAAGTATGCCTGCAGCCGTAGCGCAACTACCACCACCTTCGGTTGTAGCTCGTTCGCGTGAATGGTCCCCTTCTGTGCGTCTTGTGCACCCAGAACCACGCGATGAAGCACCCAGAGGCCGTAGCGCTGAAGCACCAACGCTCTCAAACGAAAGCAGGAACACAATCTCAGCTGGACAGACGTTCTATGGCATCTCCACATCGAGTAACATCAGCCACTCGCAAATAGAGCATGAACGTGCGAGGGAAGCTAGTCGAAACACGAGTTTCTGTAGTACCATGTCCACATCCTATTCGGGAACAGTGGTGGGCGTTGATGTTGACCTTCAGCACGACTTTTCTCATCCAGTGCGTTCTTCGCGCCCGCCCACACCTGTCGCGCCGGTATGGTTTACACCACAAATGGCCGAGTTAGAGAGGCAAGCTTCAATTTCCGAGTCTCCCCCTGATCCGAATCAAGTTCCTGAAGCGGTACCCCCGCGTTGCTCAATCACATCATCTGCGTTGACATCTTTACTACCAATAGCTGCTGCATCGGGTATCGTTCGCCCAAACTACGACACACCCAAGATTTCTTTCTTCTCTCCATCAGGTAATCTTATCCAGCCAGAAGGCAGCTCAACGCCTGGTACAACGAGCGCTTCAGACCTTAGTGGTTCACCCGTTGCGACCACATCGTACTGCGATAATAGAACCACATTCACGACCTATAGTGCCTTTCCCACAACGACATGGCTACCGCCTCCAAGGCCCTCATTGAGGCCAATGACCACACCACCCACATCGTCGGCTCCGCTTCCTGCGCACTTACGGTTCCATCACAACTATAGACGTCCTGAGCTGTCGCAGATCGATTCTACAACCGGCTCCACAAAATGCTTCATTGTACCTGCTCCATCAGTCCATGGCTGTGACGGGATAGTGCTGACCGAGGGTCTTGCGCCTCACACCAAACCGCGTCATTCGCACGAAAAGAACAAGCCACGCCCACAATACAAACGACGCAAGTCGGCCCGGTCCTTTGCCGAAGATCTCAGAGACGAGGCGAGATTTCAGAGAGCCCGATTGATCACGGCTATTCTTGCGAGCTGCACTTCGTCAGGAAAAGGACGGGTGATTTGCAAGCGAAAGGCTTCCAGCCGTAGAGCCGCAGCAACCGCCTCCGTTAGCATACCTCGGAATCGCACAGGCGGGAATGTCACAGGTGCCAGGACGAAGCGGATTGATTCCTGTGAGATTACGAACAAACGCGACATAGGAGTCCTCGGTCCGCTAGCCGGACACACTCTACGCATCTGCTTTTGCCAGCCATTCGATGGCGCAGGAAAGTCGACACATACTGCAGCTACCGAAAACACTTGCATTGGCAAGAGCGATCACACAAGGAACATGCAGAGCCGGTCGAAGAAGGAAAGCCCTCGCACAGACACGAAGGAAGTGGAAGTCGATGCAGTATTACCCATTGCTCGGGTCGTCAGTGAAATTGAAAGAAAGATGGGCAACAATGTACGCCAAGGTACTGCGGTCCGCAAGGGGAAGATTCAATCGACCACCGGCACAAATCAGCACAACAGGATGCGAAGTGACAGTGCCGTCAGTGTGGGTGTTGCACTGAGGACCGCTACTGCGGGAGGCTAATCGTCCGACTATACCGGATCGGCAGTGACAGCTGCCACAGGTGTGGGTACTTGGCATGGTTCTGTACCAACATGATACGAAGCGAGTCTGTCACATCAGAAACGGGCAACGGGTTTGCTATAAAGGGTCTAGCTTCGCACGATGAATCTTCACTCGGTCGGTATGGTAAAGTAGAAAGGGCAATATCAGTATCCGTTTTTGGATACAACGGAAGTTTAATTACGAGATATGATTAGCGGTATTGTGCTAGCGCAAACGAGTGTGGGCTGTATACTTGGAAGGGCAATAGTCATGATCGACAATGTTACTTCTTTTCCTCAATGTGGGCATGGGGTTCTTCCACCAATGATGCTTTACTATTACTCAAAAGCAGGCTTTACTGTCAACGGAAGACATGGGATTTTGGGATTGAAAATTTCCCCATGTGCTCGTCTGATCGGTAAGTTCGTGTGGGGCAAATGTCTGCGTAGTGAATGGGACGACGGGAGATCATCTTCTGCCAAGCGCAGAAAAGAAAAGTGTTATATGCGATCGTCTTCTGGATCAGCGAAGGCATATCACACGGAAGGATAGCAAGCATGCATGCGTAGGATCAAAAATTCGAGTGTTATTACCCGGTTTGTATCATGACCTCCCGCACTAACCGCGCGTCATATAGACCAATCTCATTCACTCGCGAGTTTTGGTGTAGGATTTCGTATCGAGTCCTAAGATTAAGCAAACCCGATATTGGTAGGACGGAACAAGTCTTCTCTGCGCATAATCCTGCCGCTTAATCGGTGGGTCAATCAGCAAAGGAAAAGGATCCAGATGCACTGGCAGGATCATAATCGGACAGGAACCAGGTGTCGGCGATGTCCTTGGAGAACATACTGGAAGCACGTATCATGATCACAGCGGCGTAGCCTGGAGCCAGTCAGAGTCTACCTGAGAGATGTATGGTGATGACATGCACACCGATAACAGCATCGTCTCCTTCTACCTCGGCGTACTGCTAACCCGGACGACTATCCATCAACAAGAGATGAGTATTGACTGTCTATCCATAGACACTATCTGTTTTCAATGGTACCATGTCCTTGCGAGGCGACAAGGCCAATGATCGACCATGTGTGACGGTCGAACTCGCGTATTTCAGCATCCCAGACATAGCATCACCAGTTGAATACCAGAAACCGGGTGTGTTCAAACGCCTCTATTTCTAATCAGACTTGCCGAGCAGCTAAACTCATGCAGCTGGCTCCGAATTAGGACATTCGCATTCGTATAGCCAGGTCTCGGAGGGCGTAGCATCGGTCGTACGAACCCCTGCCCGTCACGGCACTCCCGACGCCTCATTCCTGCGTTATCGACCCAACGCTCTGGTAGCGCGCTCTCGATTCGGGTTAAAAGGATGACAATCCACGTCCATGTTTGAACATACGTGCATGTGCCCCATGACGGCAGAAAGAGCAAAACCAAGGCCAGAACCGGGATATCCAGACGGATCTGACGTCTAGCCTCAAGCCGCTGCTCCACTACGCAGCAGCCGGGGGTAGGCGAGAAGGCAAGTGCTGCTGATCAAGTTCTTACTCGATGTCGTGCATGAAGGCTGCGTAAACGGTGGGCGAGTTGGTTCGAGGACAAGAGTAACGAGGTTTGGCGTGCCGTGAAACGATGATCATCGGCCTTGGTAGTGATTCAATACGGATTGCTTGACTTATCGGCCCAGAGATCTTTCCAAAACTGCCTGAAGCCGTATTGTTTCTCGCGACGTTCGTCGCGCACGCGAACTGGCCCTCCAATGATGTTGTCCAGCACGCTCTTCTGGCTGGAGCTCTGCCAGCTATCCACTTTCTTAGGTGGTTTCCGCGCACGCTCGAGGATGGCCCCGGCAAGCTGAGGCGCGACGTCGGCGAAGCAGGAGTTCAGCTCGCGTTGCAGGTTGAAGTAAGGCCTCTTAGCTAGCTCGGGTGCTAGGAGATTGTAGCTGCGCGCCTTGTCGTTCAGGTCTTTGATAGCGACCGTCCAGTAGCTACCTTCAATGCGTTCCCAATCAGGGTCACGGAAGGGATAAGGTGCAGGTGGCACTTCCGGCTCAGGCGTGGGGACAGGTACTTCCATGGTTTGCGTAGTCGTATCTGCTACAGTGGCTGCTCCTGGGTCCTGCGCTACAGCTTCTGGCGACGCATCGAGTGTGACCATCTTCGCTACAACCTCTTCCGTGACCACGGGCTCTCCGTTCGACCCTTCGCCTGCTGGATTCACCTTCAGCCCCCCCGATAACGTAATCTGTGACATATTCCCATCATCGTCCACAGTGGTAAGCGTCTCTTGTTTCCTTTTCAGAGGATTCGCAATGAGCTCTGCCTTGGCAAACGCTTCTGCTCTTTTGATTTGGTCCAGCAGTGATCCGCCCTTACTGGCTATCACACGCGCAGCATGTCTCTTCCAGTCCGCCCGTAAACGACTCCTGAACTTGCTTGCTGTCGCTGTGAGCTCTTGTTGCTTCTCGATCCACGGCGGCACAATTTCCTGCTTTTGTATAATCTTGTTCATGAAGTACTCGGTCGTATCGATGAATGGGCTCGATGCATTGTAGTCTCGCTCCACGTTTGCCGTCTTTCCACGAGCTATGTTCTTGAACTGGCCACGAGCAATTGCATCTTCGATCCTTTTATTCGCAAGAGAGGCAAGTCCTTGGATGGACCCAGGAACGATGGCACGCGCATGCGGTTCGAAGCGGTCTTTGAGCTCCTGCAGGCGCTTCTCCCGGTCGAAAGCTTCCATGTTTTCGTCGTCCTTGATTGTTGCATACACGGTACTCCTGTCGCGTGCATTGGCTAATCGCAAGCCACGACCCTCTTTGCTCCGACTATGTCCGGTGTCAATTGACTGCGGTATCGGCACGCCGGGCATTTTCGGTGGTCTCCCTAGTCGCAACGGCTTATGGGCATCGTTCAGCATGCGCAGGCTAGCATCGTGGAGAGACTCGGTGCCGGTCCACGCTTCGGTTGTGGCAAGGTCGCGTGTGTGGCGAGAGGCGTAGTCGGGCAGCTCTGCTTCGGAAGATCTGAGGTTTGCGGATGCGATGCGCTGTTCGAGTTGTGCCTTGAGGTCTGCACTAAATCCTGCCTCTTCGACAGCCTTGATAGCGCCATGGCCTCCAGATTCTAACGCTTCTTCGCTCATATTACGCATTCGTCGCGTGAACGCGCCTTCCTCCTTCTCAGCTTCTACTCCTGACTCCTTCACTCTTTCCCTGGTGCCTTCTTCCTCATGTTTTCCGTCATCTTCCGGTTTGTGTTGTGTGGCCGTCTGCCCATATCGCCTCAGAGGCGTACTCGCTGCGACTCGGGATGAAATGAAGACATCGAATCTTCGGTGCGCGCGCAAACGGCCTGCGCAGATATACTGTCTCGGAAAAGCAAATGCGGGCATACAGAAAAGCTAAGGTACAAGAATGCGATGTTGAAGGAAAGTTCGCCGTTGGAATTGAAGAAAAGGCAATGTCCCACGTCATGAGTGGTGGCCAACTCCAATGTCTAGCGCGAGGCTTATCGATAGCTACACCAGCCGAGGCTTAGTTGTTACCAGTACCTTGACACTTCTTAATCACGAAACTATATTGTACGCACTCATGAACATTGTATGGATTTGGCTACATTATCCAAGTCGTGAACTCGTATACAATCACCCACCTGCACCACCACCCTCAGTAATACCGGCAATTATCAGATCCAGCAAAGTGTGTCTCTTTTCCTTTTCGCTTTTGATCATGCACATGGCAGTAGCGACGAATACTTGATACAGCGTGCTCCTCTTCATCCGAGAAATCCTTGCTACATCTTGCTCTTTCTCATCACATTCTTCTTCTGGCCGAGCTAGCATAGATGGCGCGAACTCGTCAATCAATCGCAAGATAACGGCATCAAAGAACTCCAGAATACCACTTTTCCTAGCCGCAACGGATGACGTGTATGTTCCCAAACATACCTCAACTTGCATTTCTTCCTTCTTCTCAGTGACTGGTAACTTGGCTACTAGCTTCAGGTGGTTGAAGCGCAACATGAACCCACAGGTTCGAGATTCCTGGACAGAACCTGTTCCTTTCCAGAAGAAGTCGATGCCTGCATAGTGGAAGTGATAGCATCTTGTGTGACGGGATAGAGGGTTTTTCCACCGCAGGTACACTACCTCGTTGGCCATCGCAGGCTCTCCCGACTTGACGCTGGAGTCTTTAGCCACATCAGGATCCATACCGTCGCCAGTTTGGCGTATGCCTTTTACAGAGTGTACGTAGTCTTTACCCGTCTCACCCCACAGTCTCCATGTTCGGACTCTATAGCCTTTGAACTTGTGATCGTCAAGCTTGAGCGCTTTCTTGTCACCTCCATTGTGTCGCCATGCAACTACCCCACGTGGGTCGATTATGTCGGGTATAGATGGAAGTAGCTGGAGCTTATACTCCTTCCACCAACAGCCCTCGTGTACTAGAACAGCAGGTTGTGCCATGCGCTTGCTGTTGCCCATGTAAAGAACACGGGGCGGCACATGGAAGGCAAGATACGGTCGGTGTAGGAAGAAGGCATTGTTGTCTGGTTCGACACGAGGAAGACCGGCGTCTTGACGTTCCTTCCGCTCTTTATGTTTCGCTTTCTGCTGCTTAACGGTAGGGCCAGAACGCTGTTCCAGCACAGGGTCAAGGATTGGTGAGATACACTTGTGACACCCGTGCTTGTCGTAGATATGAAACGTCGATTTTGGTCCACTGCTGGTCAGCAGCTGAAGATTATCTTCCGTAGGTAGACGGGTGATCTCGACGCCTTCAGTTGATGGTAAGGATTTCGTCGTGATCGTAGGACCCTAAATTGGGTCAACATAGATGCAGCGAGAAGTTGCGGATATCAACACATGTATACCTTCCTCTCATCTGTTTCGTCAAGCTGGACCGTATCGGTGTCTTCTGGCTTTACGGCAGTCGTCATAGCTATCGATTACGAGATTCATCTCTCGTGCCTAATGAACTCAGCTAGTTGCTCTGGCTGGCGACTTCCTATATGTTGTGGTTTCCAAGATCACCTGCTGATGCACGAGGGGTCGTGCCAAGCCTGTTGTGGAGGCTGAGCTTCTCGCTTTGCTCGTGTTCATGCTGCATGACATGCCGTTCAATTGGAGTCTTGCAGAATGTGTTGCTTCAGGTAGTACGTGATAGTTCTATTGGCCAACATAATTCTGAAGGTATGTAAGCATATGCATGGGCTCATAAGGCAGACCTAAGGCGGGGTCTGTATAGAGGCGTATGGGCGCGACACCTCGCGATCGCACATGCGGTATATCGGAGCTTTTGAGTGTTGTGACACGATATCAATGTACCTTTCAAACAGTGCAATTCCAGCATGCTATTTACTGACTCTCAAGCACCCTCTTCGCGCCGTCACTGATGCGCTTAACCTCTTCGTGTCCGTTCTTCACCACCTCTTCCATCTGCTTCTTCGCCTTTTGAAGATCATCTGGCAGCACGGAGCGGTTGAGCTCAAAGTTCCTCAACCTCTTGTTGTGATCCTGTCGCTCCTTTTGTATATCTTTGTCTGCGCGCTCCGAGGCTTTAACGGCTTCCGCCACGGCCATGCGACGTGATTCCCCGGTCGGAGGTGGTAGCGGGACTTGGATCGTGAGAGGATTGGTGGGCTCGGGTGTAAGAGGCGTGAGCGAGTGCGGTGAAGCTGCGATCGCGGTGCTGATGGGCTTGATGTGCTGTATGGAATCAATGCCTGATGCTGTCGTAGTGGTCGCTTGTACGTACCGCTTCTTCTCCACAAATGACGTTCAGCACTCTCCCTCTCGGGACGACTTGTGCGATATCTCCCAGTCTCACGCTCTCTTTGCCGTGTCCTGCCGTGCCTAATTGCACCTTCAAGCTCTCCACGATATCCGGGTTCATCCTTCCTCCACCGCGCAGCTGACTAAGATCATGCGTGAGCTTCTCCAGGGCCCTGAGGATCCGTGCCTCGAGCCCCGAGATATCGTAGGCTTCATCGGTAGGCGTGCGGGGCCCTGGGTTGGTCACGGGCGGGGCTGAGTCGGTTCGCGCACGGGTTTTATTCGCTTTGCCGGCCTTCTTTTCTAGGTGTGTGCTCACTGAGAAGCTTCGAGCGGCATGAGAAGAGCATTGTGGTGTTGGGCGCAAAAGAGGACTGGGTGGTGTGAGCGGAGGGGTCTGCGCAAAACAGCAATTGAAGCTTACATTCTGCGGCTAGGCGCCTCAATTGTCCTCGAAGATGCGCATAACGGGCTTCTTGAGCTAATACGTAGTACTACACGCGGTATGGCGGTACGTGACATGACTATCGATACTGAAGGATATTGGGTTGCTTGCTGGTACAACGGTTTGGGAATGCACGGACGATGTTTAGCACGCGATTGGGACGTCATCGCGTCGCGACCATGCTCCAGACAGCTCTTGAACATTCCATCGTGACTTCTTCCATGAAACACACTCAACTCTCCGTTCCATTTCTTCTATCATGCTAAAGCTTTGAAACAATGACATCTACGTTACAGTGTACCTTTGGGAGGCAGATCACGAACCGCTTCACCCGTCAAAGGATCTCGATACCAATTCTCTTCTGGATCGTTCAAGCACTCGCCCGCTGTCACCAGCTTGAACCCACGCTCCTTCGCATTTTTGATCATGAATGGCGTCCAGCGATACACCGATTGATTGTGAGTATCATGCGCTAAGCCCATCCAGGCGCGGACTCCCTGACGGTTACCCTTACTCGTAATTTTTGCCATAAAATGTTCTTCGGAGAAGGTATAATTACCTGCCCAATCTCGGCCCTCGATATCATTCGAAGTCTTTCGTCGGAGTCAGTTTGCTTCTTCATGTAATCTGCGAAATAGCGGGAGCCTCCACACTCACCACATGATATCCGAGCTCTCCGACGTCGGTCTGGCATTCGGCCCCGCAAATGTTGTAGGGTGGGCGCATGTACGTTGGGAAGAAACCCAAGATGTCGACGAACCCAATCTCTCCTTTTATCAGTTCATGTCTCCGTTGTTGCGAATTCAGCTGGTCCATGTCTGGGTGGGACCAAGTATGTCCCGCAATCTGGTGTCCTTCGTTGTACATTCTTCTTATAATCGCAGGGGTCTTTTCGCTACGATGATTGACCAAGTCATCATAGAGCTTGATGCCTGAGACGAAAAAGGTTGCCTTGGCATCATGCTCCTTCAGTATGTCAAGCAAATCGGGGGTCCATTGTGAAGGGCCATCGTCGTACGTAAGCGCCAGTGTACCCTCTACTGTGCAACTTCTGAACTTCTTCCCATACGGAACATCTCCAAGCCTTGGCCTTGGAGTAGCTGACGTGTTAAATCCCGGTGGCCATTTAGAGCCATCACATGCTAGTCCGAACTCTTCGAGGCACATCGGTACGCCAAGATGATTCGAATCAGACATGTGGTAGCCCTACGCGTGTTGATTAACAGGGTAATGGATGCGGAGAGTTTTTGACTACTCACATCTTCCGAGCAGCAATGGTTACAAGGCGGTTGGCGAACTCCTGGTCCACATCTTCCATAGGTAAGGTTCGTGACGCTGACGAGTGGCTGTGCTATGGGACATATATTGCCCAGCGGATAGTAGTAAAGTGGATCAAAACCACCCAGTGCATTACTCATGGTGGACTGAATATTCGGCTGACTGACTTGGGGGATAGTTCAGCTTTTGTAAATCACATTTCGGTGGTAGCAATGTAAGGTAAGACGATTGCGTGCGCTTCTCGTCAGAATTTCCATGTTCGAATTAAACGTTGGTTGCGATACTCATCCTCACCGCTTTTGGGTCTTGGGACTTCAAATAGACACTTGAGCCGCACGAAACCACAGTAGGCCCGATGTCAACGGATTCGTTACAGAATTCGCCGGTCGTGCTGCAGGAAGGATCTTCCCTCTCGGACATTTACGCGGGCCGATAGTTTCGTCTCTCCGGCTGAGTACCTTCCTTCAACTAATACTGGATATCCAAAAGGTGTATTCCACGACACAACGGCCAGCTGGAGATAGTTAAAGAATCTTCTGTAAACGGGACTCGGCCCGCTTTACAATAGCCGTCCAGTCTGTCATCGGTTCCAAACATCAACCCGCACATCTGACAAGGTATCTAGAACATTGTAATCCAGACCGGGTTGTTTCGCAGCTACCACAATTGCGTCAAATGTCTTCAATGCGTCCGGTGTCCATAAGCTTTCTTCCAGTTTCGGCACCTCAGGTATGGTCTTCTGGTTTACCAAAAGATCGCAGAACATCAGGTCTACTTCGCCAGATTGGCGCATGTAGTTGAGTAGTTGCAATCCGGGCGAATTGGATAGATCCGACTGGCCAGACTTGAATCCGACTCCTACTACGAGAAGACTGGGTCGGCGTGTCGCACCGTGCTTGCGCTGGGTATCTTCCAGTAACGAAATGAGAAGCTGGCTGGCGATGCGCGAAGGACGTGACATGGTTCGTTCATGAGCTTGCTGGAGGAGTGGAAGACTGCAAGTCGACATGAAGTATATCGGATTTACGGGTATGCAATGACCGCCAATGCCTAGTGAGGGATACATAGGCAGATATCCAAAGGGCTTGCTTGCGGCGGTGTGTGCCACCTCAAAAGGATCGATTCCCAAACCCTGGCAGGCGTCTGCCATCTCGTTCGCGTAGGCGATAGCTATGGTCCTTTGACAGTTCTCATACAGCTTTGACATTTCTGCGACCTCGGGTTTGCTGACTGGTATGACGGTGTCGAACACTGTCTCGTACAATCGTGTGATAGCATCCAGCGAGCCTGGAACGATGTCGTCAAGTCCAGAGACGACTTTGGGAATCGATCTAGGAGGGGGTTCAACTCGGCCAGGGTCAATCCTCTGTTCGGACATCTGTCAGTCGTCGATCTTCCCCTCTATGCGGGCTGCTTACCTCTGGTGACATTCCGGCAAAGATACCGCGCGATGCAGCCAGTGGTCCAAGGAACTTCCTCGTCATCCCAACTGCGACCGTACTCTCTATCACCACGATGGACTTGTTGTTCACATATTTCTGGAGCATGGCTATTGCGCTGCAAATGTGCGAGGAGTCAACCTTGCCGTCCACTCCTACGGTTGTCGGTACGCAGACGAGAAAGTGAGACGCGTCTTTCAAGTCTCTCTCATCGTTTGAGAGCTTGGTATGGCGTTTCGAAGAATATTTCGAACGCAGTCTCTCTATACGCGGAGTCGATATATCGTAGCCAATGACCTGAAAAGTGGAAGAGAACACTTCCATAAGATGTTCTCCGACATAGCCTACCCCGATAATTGCGATAATAGGCGCTTTGTCATACTCATTCAAGGAAGAGATAGGCAAATCTGATGGATTTTGAGATGCTGTGAACGCTGATGAAGTCATGTTGCAGAAAAAGACGAGTCAAACTAACGGATGCAATGGATGAGTGAACACAGGGGTTGATATGATGTGAGAATTTACGGTTATATTGGCGGTTAGGTCGTCAGTTCATCCTAACATCCGTAGTCCCGCAAGGCTGCACACGCACACGCATACGCACACTCCATCTCCGTCTCGAGACACCAGACCATACGATTGTTGACAAAATATAATTCGGCAATGTTACACTAAACTCAAGTCTCGATACTTCCTAAGGTTAGCTTCGGCACTGCAGCGGCCCAGAAGTCTGATATCACCGGTGTCACTCCGAGCGGGTGCGGAATCAAGACGGGAAACAACTCCAAATAGACGTTTTAGGGAAGATGGACCTGCATATGCAGGTCATGATGCGACGATCTTGTAACCTGGTGCCTGGAACTACTTCGGAATTGTGCTTTGCATTTTATCATGGTGTACACCGCCTGACACCACTATTGTACCCAACGTTCCAGATACTTGAATGATGTGGAGACGACAACGCAGATCGCTTCTTGGCCCGTTTTGCACCGAGAGAGTTTGCAAAGTACTAAAAATCCCATATTGCTCTATCGCAGTATTCGTCTACCATACCACCAAACATTACGTCCGTAACGATGGAAATCCTCGAGACCACGAGCTCGGGGGCTCATATTGCGGGCAACATCAAGAACACGCCCAACAACCTCCGAAAAAGATCCTTCTTCTTCTCGTCCCGAGTTTTGTCTAGCGCAATCGAACATCTGCCAACCGTTGACGCGCGGCGGCTGAGGCTTGAGAAATATGTTGTACTATCTATTTTGATACCGCTGAAGTAAGTGAGCCACCATTCATGGTACAAGAATAGAATCGCTAACTATCAGAATGTAGTTGCGTCCTTATCTACATGTTCACAAATTGGTCCAAATTCTCTTGGTACTTGATTCCAGAACTGATGCTTCGGATTGTGGTGGATTGCACCGAGATAACGCTCGTCATTATCTTCTTCATCGTAAGAAGATTGTACCGGCGCCAACCAAAAATACCAGAGGAGCTAGAGAACTTTGTCTACCTGCTATGTTGCTATAACGAGTCGTATCCAGAACTGATGACCTCATTGGATTCGTTGGCCGAGCAGCAGTTATTAGATACCCACAAGAAAGCCATTGTCGTGATCTGCGACGGCCGAGTCAGCAGCAAGGGCGAACCGAAAACTGCTGCTGCTTATCTAAAAGATGATATTGTTGAGCGTCCGTCAAGTAGGTCCATGGCTCAGGCGTACACTGCGTGGGACGGTGCTCCCATGGACGTCGAGATCATTGAGGGCGAGTTCAGAGGGATTCCGATCATCTGCGTTATCAAAAACGAGAACCGAGGCAAGCGAGACGGCATCGTTCTTATCCGATCGTTCATGCGCAAATTCAACCAGCGCCATTCGAGCCCTTCGTTGGCGATGCTTTCATCCAGGCTCTTTGCTGAACTGACGAACTTTCTGGAAAAGGCGTCCATCCAGTCTGTGGATTATGCCGTTGGAATAGACGCAGATACCAGGTTTGACACGAAGTGCGTCTTCAATCTGATACAGACAGTAAGAGAAGACGACCAGTGTCAGGGAGTTACCGGCTACATTCGACCGGATCCTAAAGCCTTGGGACCATTTTCATTTTCTTACCTCTACCAAAACGCCGAGTATCTGGTTGGTCAGCACCGCCGTCGCCTCCGTCAAAGTCTTACTAGCAGGAAGGTGACCTGTCTGCCCGGGTGCTGCCAGTTGTTGCGGGTCAATGAATATACTTGCGGCGATCATATCTTGGGCAAATTCGGACATTACCCGAAGGGCACCGATGGCTTGTTCCGAACGATCCGATCCATGATGAGCGAAGACAGAGATCACATATGCCTGGTTCTCTCAGAGTACGCCGATGTCCGGACACGCGTATGCCTCGCTGCGCGAGCGTACACAACAGTGCCGAGTACTCCTTCGGTCTTGCTGAGTCAAAGACGTAGATGGACGTTAGGGCCACTTACGAGCGACAGTCTCCTTCTTAGTCGTAAGACGACAGGCTGGATCGAGAGAGTAGCCGCATTCACGTCCATATTGCATTGGACCGTAAACCCAGCGCTCTATGTGTCAAGATACTACCGTACGTACCGCTATAGTTGCAACTGATGATTCTATTCTGACATCAAGCCGTAGGACAAATTGACAACCAAACAAAATTCTACCTGATTATTCTTGAGAACTATCGGCTAGTTTACGACCTGCTGGTCGTCGTCGCAGCCTCTGATTCGGTTCCTGATATCATTCAGTCGTTCATCGGTTTCTGGATGTATGGCTTCTTTGGGCCAACTGTTAATTTTGTCACCCAGCTCTACACTTTGTACAAGTTGGACGATTTCCGGTGGGGCAAGACACGCGTAGGTGTCGCGGACAAAGCGAAATAGAGCAGTCATAATGTTACAGGGCTTGTTTTGGCAACAATACCACGCGTAGGGCAAGAAAGTGGAGAGACTGGGTTTCTTTGTTCCCTCCCCTTGCTTCTTGAACCCCTGAACTAGTCGCGCCTACCAATCGGAACGCCACCTGTTCGTCACCCCTCTTGATACCTGACAGGGCTGTGAGTGAAACTTGCGACAACTGTTTGTGTGTTTACAGTTTGTTCAGCTATTGCATCTACTTCTTTTACGAGATAACCTCTTCTAGCAGACGACTCGTTGAGATTACTCGGTAAGATGATCCCGTGCTCACACCTTCTCGCCTTTGTCTCGACGACCTGACAAATTCTTCCGTCACCATGGCTTACATATTTGCCCGTCACGGCATTGATCGTCCCTCTCGTTGACGTCCTCCGTAGTACAGGTAGAGTGCTGACACGGGTTACTCTTTCGCCCGACACAGATACTACCCGCGAGCTGAATGGCTTACTCGCCCTACGGTAGCGGATGTTAAGTAGACCGCTAGATACGTAGCACGCAGCCATGAGCGCGTGCAAATGTACCACAGTAAATGAGGCTCAATAGACCTTGGCGTGAGTCAGTCGAAGGTTCTTGCAGGCGTGTCAAGCAGATGATAAGGCCGCCCTGTCTGTCAACCACGCCTCAGCCACGGCCTGACATCACCGCCGATCAACAACGCATCACACCAAAACGCGGCTCCGCTCATTTGCTCCAACGCGCAGTCCATGCGTCTGCGCAACGGGGAATTCGAATGCGCAATGAGTTTGTCAGATTTTAGAGCGACGGGATGTCCGTTGCAATGGCAAAGTAATCACGTTCATGGATATTTGGCCGTCCCGCGGCCAGTAAGGGAGGCTTGCTGCGCCCAGCAATCTTGACAGCCTCGCTGTGCCCGCCGCCAGACCGCCCTGTTACCGCCACACTGGAAGGGCGGCGTAGGTATGAACGTTGTAATTTGCTCCACGATCTACCCGCAGGTATGTACATCCATCCTATGTAAGGTAGCCTACCCCAGGTTTCTTTCGTCCCGTTTTGCTGTCTCTCACCCGCCGGAGTCTTGATCCAACTTTGACCCACTTTTCCGGTGCTCACTTCACTACGCTCGACACTGGAGGGCAGTCGCCGTACATGGCTCCAGTTCCAGCTTCACTCTTATCTGAGGTTTAACAAGATACGACATCATGGCACCGCTCAGCAGCATGGATTTGCTCGCCTTGGCAAAGCGCTTCCCCGGAACAGCCACGACACGCACTTCACCACCGACAAGAGAGAGTATGACGACGGAGGGCGGCTTTCTCGAAGCATGGGCTCAAGGATATAACGTTGGTAGCTTGATTGTTCTCATTCTGATCGTTTTCTGTAACTACCGCTCTGGCATATGGCTTCACAAGCTTATTCTACTCGAGGTGAGTTTTATGGATGCCGCGGCAAAGTGCTGTTGCTTTTGGGTGGTCGCATGACCGCTTACTCGAAAGTCTCGCTGTACAAATCGCTCCAAGGCACATGCGAAGTACTGACCGATTCAGCTTGTTCTTGCCATTTGGCACGGCACCTTTATCTTCGTCGAAGACCCCAACTACGGCTGGTACCTCAGCTCGACTGCAAGCCTGCTTTTTATATCATACTTCCTCCACAACGTTGTATCGTGGCTCAAGATTCGGCCATTCTTGCCACTTTGGGGCTCTCGATTCTTCGTTATATCGCTACTTTGCGTTCAACCATTCTGGATAGCAGAGGCATGGTCGAATTTTGCGTACTTCAATCAACTCAAAAGCGGCTCCACCGTCAATCTTCGCATGCGACCTTGGGAAGCTCTATTTCGTGATCCCTGGTGGATCTTCACTACCTGGCGGCTCATACATGCTATCAAGAAGACTTATACCTTTAACCTTTGGACCCTAGTCGGCATAAATAGAAGGTTCGGCGTCATGTTGGCATGCATGATCTTGTCCATTGTCTTCCTTCTAACCGACATTGCTGTCAGCGCCGCGAAAGTAACAGCCAGCAGCGGTATCAACCCATACTGGCGGTTTGCGCTGGTATTCAAGTGTGCATCAGATACGATCTTCCTTGACGACTTCAAGTCCGTCCTAGATGATATTGTCGCACGCAAGTTCAGCTCCGTTGGTGATTCTATGCGTCGCAGCTCGATACCAGGGAGCGGGCCCCATAAGCGCTCGCGCTCTACCTCGCGCAACGACGAGTTCATCGAGTGCAGCACTCTCGAGCCGCCCGAGCCTTTACCGTCATATAGCGACCCTCCTAAGACCATGCCGCGGCCGAAATTCCGCTCTCCGTTCTCGAAGACACATACAGCACCAGAAGTTCCGACCATTCATATACAGGAGGCTGAAACTGAATCGTCAAGGAACCCAAGTCAAGATAGTTGGGACAGTCAAGGTCCCGTACTACCCAGACCAGCGCACACTGTGTACCGCAACCCAGAGTTAAGAGCGAACGAGAGCGATGGGAGTTTGCTAATCGGCAGGCTTGTCTGAGAAGGTTTTGATGGCCTGAGAAATCGTGAAACATCGCAGCCGGGTCCCTCACGACTCTTCATATACCTATCAGCAATAGATGAGGTGTCGCATTATTCGCGCATCTTATCAAGCGTGCTTTTGAGAACACAAAAGCCTTCAAACTTACAGGCCGTGGCGCCTTCGAGCATGATGGCTACCTTATTCCTAAGGTAGATAACCGCACCTAGTAAGTCTCAATCTGAAATTTTCATAGTGAGGGCGCTGCTGACAGTTGTACCAAAAGCGCAACAGCTTGCGAAGCTGCGAGCACCAGCGCCGAATTGACGAAGTGCGGCGCGCGACAATGGAGCGATAATTTGAATGGAAGCGACAGTCGAAGAGACGGGAAGAGCTGGCGAAAGAGGGACAGCATCCGAGAACGATGCTTTGCATGATATCCTGGCGCAATCCGTACCTTCACATCATAGTAATGAGCAACTGAATACACATCATTTCCCGTTCTCATGCAGCCATCGCACCTTCTTCGCAAGCCTAGCACACTTTGCAAACCCCGCGTACGGAGAGTCTTACGGCGCTTACGTCCACAACCGGTATTATTCGATGCGTCGTATCCAAGCCACGCGCTAGCTCCGCCGTCGTAAGGCTGATTTCGTAAACACGAATATCCGCCTTAGCCTCCTGTGCTTGCCTGACGAAACTTATGCCTCCTTTCAGCATTCTAGAGGGAGGATGCATACGACGTCTTGTTTTGTGTGGCTTTCTCCACGGACTCGGACGCGTAATGAAGAAGATGTTGAGGATGGTTTTGTGAGCATCAACGTAGTTGGTGGTATGTTTTGACGCGAAGCATGAGAGTATCGCGAGGATACTTAGTGCATAAAGACGCTCTGGTATTCTTTCTCTTATCGTACACTCGCAACAATCTTTCAATCATTCTCATCAAAGACCCTGCTTACACTACCAAGCATGGGATCACGAACAACTCCATCTAGTACTGCTACTACACCAGAATGTACCACCGCCATACCCGGTCCCTATGGCTATGTTCCACCATCTTCGTGTAACGCACTCTACCTCTACAACCCTTCCTTTACCGCAGCTGTCGCCTTCGCCGTTCTGTTCGGTCTCCTCACGATCGTGCACATCTTCCTTGCGATCCTCCACCGAAAGAGCTTCTGCTGGGTGATCATCATGGGCGCAATCTGGGAACTAGCATCCTTCATCTTACGCACCCTCGGCACGCGAGACCAACAGAATGAAGCATACGCAACTGCATCAACATTGCTCTTCCTACTAGCGCCACTATGGATCAACGCATTCGTGTACATGACCGCTGGGCGACTGGTCTACTTCTTGCACCCCAAGAAGAGACTTTGGGGTATTGAAGCAGTGAAGATGGGTCGCTGGTTCGTGTGGCTTGATATTCTTAGTTTCATCGTCCAGGCAGCCGGCGGATTGATGATGAATCAAGAGAATGGGGCAAAAATAATCGAGATAGGTAGGAATGTGTACATGAGCGGTGTGGGTGTACAGCAACTTTTCATCTTGATATTCCTGGGGATGATCGTAAGGTTTCATGTCGATCTACTGAGCTTGGAGCGCGATGGCCAATTGTGCGATGTAAATAACAGAAGGAGAAGGGCTGCGCGATGGAAGTGGCTGACATATACGTTGTATGCCGTCCTTGGGCTCATCACGATACGTATCGTCTTTCGTCTCGTCGAGTTCTCGGCTGGTATCGATGAGTCAGCGAATGCACTCATTGGGACCGAAGGCTATGCGTTAGGACTGGACGCCATTCCGATGATGCTAGCGCTTCTGCTGCTAGCGATTGTTCATCCGGGTCTTGTGCTGAAAGGGCCTGATAGCGAATTCTTATCACGGAAGGAGAAAAGGTTGGAGAAGAAGGCAAGAAAAGCAAGGGACAAGTCCCCTGATGCTCATATCCAACCGCGCGGAGCCTGAACAGCGGGACGTGGCAGTTGTGGCGAAGTGCTCAGGTGACTGGCGCCAGATACCCTCCAGCCTCTGTTCGGTAACAGCTTGATGCGAACCTTTCTGCTGCTGTTATCGATATCGTTCCATGTCGACGAAGGACTGAGCTTGCTTTGCGCGTCTTTTGGTAAACTGTAAATCAGTGTAGGCATAGTTGATGTCTTCCAGATACCGGTCGTGGTATCTTTGGATGTCTTGATCATTGTCGAGACTAAGAACACCAAACTGAGTACTAAAAGCAAGAATGGAAATATAAGCCATTCCCATCGTACTAGCACGTATTGTTCGCTGTAGAACGCTTTGCCCTGCAGCATTTCGTTGCTTTCGGAAGACCTCATTCGATTCGTCATTGCTGTAGCAAGTTTTTCGACATGTCGCGTGAGATTGTTAGGTGCCATCCAGGGACTGAATGGAACATAGCGCTGGCAAGGTCCGATATCATAATCTCTGTATCTGAGTCTGGGTATCGCAGAGACGTTGTTGACGCTGAGTGAAGCAGGGAAAAAATCCTCAAACATAAACATGAGAGCACTAGCAGAAATGTTGTTGGCGCCATATCCAATCGTCGTATCGGTAGGCTTGATACCGTTGGAATCGTTCTTTGCTGGTATGATAGTAATGTCCTCGTCGTATCCAAGCCATGTTCCAACGCCATCTCCAAACGGAACCTCCCATGAGACCCATGGATTCTTTGGCCCATTAGTGGTGTTGTAGTATGATGAGATGATGCGCTCTTTGTATCCACCCAGGTCATAGAACGATTCAATGGTCTGGACACACAAAGAGAGAACACACTCATGAACTATAGGAGTTTTGTTCTGATAGACGCTTTCCACGCCATCGGCTGCAGAAGCTATTAACGCATTAAGAATAGGGTTGCGTATGCTCTTGAAAGCCACCGATCCAACATCGTAAAGACGTGATTTGTTCGAGAGAATTGTGAGCGGTATCGTTCTAAGTAGCAGAGTTTCATCATGGATATCGCTTCCATTGGTACGGACGGTATAGCCCGAGAGAAGGATGGGAAGGTCCGCTGTTACGTTCAAAAAATGCCCACACACTTTGTTGGTGGGGTAAGGAACCTTGGAAAGAGGTCCTTCCCAGTTCGTACTCCAATCTACCGTCGTATCCAAACAAGCAAAGGTGATGTCTATCAGGTCGCTGACCTCTTCGCATTTGCTACAGACAGCAAGTGTGTCGTACGTTGGCCAAGTGCAGTTGCTGGTAGGGCAAGACAGGGGTATGTCTGGACGAAAATTTGTGCCGAATGGAATAGGCTTACTACCGTTCATATAAAGGAATGGTAGAACGACAGGCATTATGTTGGAATCATAACGGGCGGTCTCCCATCCGCCCTGAAACTCCAGTTGGAAAGGTGGGTCGTAGCGAATCACGTATGGTATCTCTCCAGGAAGTTTGTGTAAGGTCCATTTACTCGGGAAACTTGCCACCTGTTGGAAAAAAGTGTCGATCGCAAGAAGCAAAACGATAAGTAGTGCGCCCAATGCAGCCAATGAGCGACCCTTTGTTCGAAAGAGTAGCATCAGGGCACCAAGGGGTCCTCTGGAAGCTTTGTCGAATATTTCGAAGTCCCACATGGCCTTGGACTCGTGAAACCAATTCCATTTCAGTTGGCCAAGTGCTTCTGACGTTGGCACGATCAGAGCGGCCGAAGAGACTTTCCCCAGGACGTTTGTCCAGTTAAGGTATGATTCATTTTGAGATAGAGGGTGGTTTTTGATCCGAAGGTAGATGCAGATGATTGCGACCATACAAGCCGCACTGATGCACCAACTCACGATCTCAAACAACCACCTCTTAAAGACGTTATCCGACGCGTTGTACTCGGCTAACTTTTTCTCGGCTCGTTGTGTAAAGTCAAGTGACGGTTTCGTGTTTTCCAATGTATTAGGCAACTCTGCTGTATGCCGTCCTTTGTGTCGTTCACCTCGCTGTGTCCATGGAAGATGGTTGCGTACCGCTGTCGAACTGGAAGCCATTTCTGTAGTAATTACAATGATAGATAGCAGGTCTTGCTAGGCCACGCGAAAAATGAAGGATGACAGCCTCGTGGTAAGAGTTGCTTTTTGACCGATGCTTGAAAGCAGGACGATACCCACCCAGCTAAGGTAGTGCATGGGCGCCTAAGGAGCCGCATAGCCTGGAAACCCAGGTGCAACTATACTCATAGCCATGACGGGATAGCAGCGCTAAGCTGCACGTGTTTCTATCGAATGTTGTGTATGCGCTTCGTTATCACGCGCCTATAGGAGCTTTGCTGTTAGCGCTGCGGCATGGTGACTGGCAGCTAGCTACCTTGCAAGCTTGGTTACTGGGATTGTACATTGCGCAACATTGCAATGCAGATCTATGCGCAGCACCAAGAGAGTTGTCGTCCTCATGGTCACTCATGGAACTAGAGAACGATGTAGTTGGAATGAAGGATGAGGGGGAGCGGAATCAGGGAAGGCCAGTGAGCCGAGGCTCAGCAAGCGAGATTAACTCCGCGACGATGATGTTGACAGTTTGTCTCTCTAAGACGAGCACTAACACCCATTGCTATACGCTATATGGATTTGGTCATAGAATGGGGCATCGCTTGTACATTCATGATATTTCATGATGATTTGAGCAGCTTGTCACAGGTCTCATTCTCTTTAGCAAACCTCCATCATTTGCACATACGTATCATAAGCAGAGGCTTGCAGCTATATGAAACCTGGCGGAGCCGTTGATGCAGGCTGAACCTGACCAGACACCCTCCATCCTTGTTTCGGCATTAGTTTGATCCTGATTTTCTTCGATCTCGAGGTCACCGACGTTGCGAGTCCTTGTTGAAGGTCGTTCGGCAGGCTATAGATCAACGCTGGCATAGCCGAAGTCTTCCATATACCCGTATCGGTGTCTTTCGAGGTTTTGACAATGGTTGCAACCAAGAACACCAGGCTCAGTACAAGTAGTAGAATTGGAAAGATGAGCCATAGCCAATTGATGTAGATGAACTTCTCCATGTTATATGCTCTTCCAGGAATCATCTCATTACTATCGGCGTTAGATCGCATGGCGTCGGTCATCGCCGCGGCTAGCCTCTCCAAATGGCGTGTGATGTTGTTGGGCGCTAACCAGGGATTGAAGTCCATCTCTCGAAATGTAGGCCCATCGTACCCGTCAAGAAACCTCAGCAAGGGTTTTCCAGAAGGGCCGAAGTCTGTGTAATAAGATGGGAAGATCTGATCAAACGGCATGATCATATTTGATGCTGAGGTGTTGTCGACTCGGTACGTGGCATTGGAGACGGCAAGTGAGAAAGGATCTCGATGCGCAGCGTCGCGCTCGATAGTGATGTTTTGAGCGTACATGGCGAATGTAGCGGTAGTTCCGTCTTCTAATTTTACAGGGACGCTTTCCCATGGAAAGGATCCGGTTGTTGTGTTCATGTAGATGCTGGTGATATTCTCGGTGTATTTCCCTCCGTCGTAAGAAGAGCTGATAGTTTTGACGCACCAAGATAATGCGCATTCATGAGCAACAGGTCGTTCGTGGTTGAGGACACCAGCGGTACCGTTTGCAGTTGATACTATCAAAGCATCTAGAATGGGGTTGCGAATGTGCTTGAACTTGATCGAGCCTCCCATGATTGGTTTTTTCGTGTTCATGTCGGTGAAAGGGTATGTTCGTACCATCAACACCTCGCCTGGTGAAGTCTGATTTCCTGTACCCTCAAGGATGTATCCCGACATCAAAATCGGTATTTCGGGCCGAAAATTGAGGAAATACCCGCACACAGTTCCATTAGCCGTCGTTTTGGGACTGATGGGTCCAGTATGATTGGTGGTCCAGTCAATTGCAGTGTATCGACAAGCGAACTCAAGGAGATCTGAAGCATCGGTGCATTGACTGCATACAGCTAGAGTCTCATACGCCGGCCAAGTACAGGCACTGGATGGACAGGAAAGCGGTATGTTGGCCTTTGTGGCATTCCCAAACGGAATCGGCGTCGTGCCAGTATCGAAAAAGTACGACTTTACGACAGGGAGTATGAGATTGTCGAATTGCTGGACCTCAAAGCCCTGGTATATCTGCTTAAAGTACCGTGGTTGATAGCTCACTACTCGAGGAATACCGCTAGATAGATCCTGCAAGGCCCACTGATCTGTATAGGCTACTACCTGCTGGAAGAAAGCGTCAATGGCAAGCAATAACACGATAAGCAATGCCCCTAACGCAGCAAGTGATCTTCCTTTCGTCCGAAATAGGAGTAGCGTGGCACCCCATGCACCGCGAGATGCCTTATCAAAAACCTCGAAATCCCACATGGCTTTGGATTGCTGGAACCATTGCCACTTGAGTTGCCCGAGTGCTTCTGAAGTTGGGACGATAAGTGAAGCGGATGCTACTTTTCCTAAGAGGCTGGTTATTGTGAGAAGCCGTTCGCTTTCAGCCATCTTCTTCGCACTGATAGATATATAGATACCAACGAGGGCACCTATACATGCTGCACTGACTAGCCAGTTGACTAATTCGAAAAGCCACCTCTTGAAGACATTCTGGGATGCATTGTATTCCGCCAGTCTCTTCTCTAAGCGTTGTATGAGATCCAACGATCTCTTGTCTTTACCGTCGGAAGTACAGAACGATGGTGTGTCGCGTTCATGATCGTGGGGGCTTTGCGGCGGGTATCTTGAGGATTGGCATTGCGGAAGTGTTGCACGAGTGTCGTGTGGATGGTCTGAGGCCGCGGATGAGTAAATGGGCGGTTCGTTCATTGCGGGGTTTTAAATGAGTGGTTCTGTCCTTCAGGACTAGTAGTTGGATGTGATATGTTGTCAAAATTGGAACATAGTCTTACAAGAACTTCTCAGGCATCTGAGCTTTTCATAGGATGAGGTTCAACTCGGCAATGCCTCAGCACAGCAGTCTCGTCATGTCTTGCAGTTGGAGATATCGAACCGCCAAAACATGCACCAAAGCATGCCACAAGGCCTGCGATCATCATGGAAGTTTAGCGCCGAGTTCCGTATGTGCTCTCTTCCCATCTTGAGTGAGCGCTTCGCTGTCATGCGCCAATAGGAACTTTGCTGCTAGCGCCGCGGCATACTCACGTAGCGACCGGCTAATAGGTACCGGACGTGGTGATCAACATTGTGTCGTGCAGTCGAATGAAGTAACCAGATACAGTAAAGAAAAGGCCAAGGTCGAAAAGGGTGCTATACTTTTGGTAGAAAATAAAGATGGGTATGATAGAGGTGGGTGAAGGAGGGAGGGGTGAGGGCGAGCGGAGCCCGGAGGCATTGGCCGAGTTGAGACTCAACAAGCACGTGAGCAAAATCGAGCCTATATTTGCGCTTTCGCTGTACCTTATCAGCATGTAGTGTTTCACACGTTGCGCCGATAGGACGCGGCAAAGTGCATGTTCTGTTCATAGTTTCAGATAACTACACTACTGGTAATATGACATGATTCATACCATGTTGCATCGAGCTCAGTATGATGATCAGGTATTTGCTAATCTTGGCTATCGTCGAACGCCTTCTATATTTGCATGTGAATATCATTTGTACATATTCATATGGTAGCTATAACCGCAACCAAAGTATCATCACGTTGAAATGAAATGATAGCCTGCATACTTGAGTGTTGAGGTGAATTTGGACTGGAATAGGCGCAATAGTAGTAGTACAGATATCAACAATTATATGAACCCTGGTGGAGCCCTCGGTGCGGGATCACCTTGTCCTGACACTCTCCAGCCTTGTTTTGGCAACAGCCTGATTTTGACCTTCTTCGACCTTCTTTTCGAAATAGATCTCGAAGTCGCCGACGTTGTGAGTCCCTGTTGCAAGTCTTTCGGTAGACTGTATATCAGCGCTGGCATAGCCGAAGTTTTCCAGGTGCCGATTCCATCGTATGTTTGTTGTGAAGTTTTGATCATCGTGGCTACCAAGAACACGATACTCAGGAGAAGCATGACCAGAGGAAATGTGAGCCAGCCCCATTCAACTCTCACATATGTCTCTGGCGAAGAAGCGCTTCCAATGATCAGTTCGTTGCTGTCAGCATCTGATCTGACAACATTCGTCATAGCCCGTGCTATTCTTTCCATATGATAAGTGACGTTATTGGGAGCAAGCCATGGATTGAAGTGTACTTCTCGGAATCTGATCTGGTCCGTAAAGCTAGTTCGGACTTTCAGGTATGGCTCTGCCGAAGGATCCGAAATAGTAATCAGGGATGGAAATACCTCATCCAGAACAACGACCGTAAGGAAGAACGTATCATTAGAAACGCCGAAAGAAGTAACAGGAGTGTTGTTAGAAGGTGGGGTTATCGTGATGTTCTCACTGAAGTCCTGGTAGGTATCGCCGTTCGACATCTGCTCGACGTACCAGGGGTACTCGGTTTTTGTTGTGTTCGTGAAAATCTCAATCACCTGCTCTTCATAACCTCCCTGTGAATACGAGGAGCGGAGAGTTTGGACGCACCAAGACAAGACACATTCGTGGGCGATGGGGGGTACTTTACGATAGACGCTGGTGGCAGAGCCGTCGGCTGCGCTTACGATGAGTGCATCAAGGATGGGGTTGTTGATGTGCTTGAAGTTGATAGAGCCTCCGTACAGCGGCCTTCTGAGAGGATTCGTGACAAGTGGCAGTGTGCGCATGAGAAGGGTCTCTCCGTAAGTTGAATCGGTGCTGTTCTCGACCCTGTAGCCTGACATAAGTACAGGAGATGAACTCGTCGCGTTCAAGAAGTAGCCGCATGCAGTACCTAAGTGGACATATTGTTAGCCGCAGTAAACTTTGTTAGGTGATTAGTTGACTGCATGGTTTGGCATAATAAAGACTGGTGGCAGCGATGAAAGGCATGTCTCACCATCGGAATATGTATCTTCCGTTCCAGGACCAGTGGCATTTCTGATCCAGTCCATCTTCATGTTAAGGCAGTGATACTCAAGAAGATGTGAAACGTCTTCGCAAGCACTGCAAACTCCCAGAGACTGGTAGGCCGGCCATTCACATCGACTAGTTGGGCACACAAGTGGTATCTCTGCTTGAGGGCCACCCTCCGTAAGCAGAGGGCGCGTGCCATTTTTGTCATACATGAATGGATCCAGGGCCCTCTTTAGATCTTGGTTCATCGTAGACAAAGGCGTGTCGGCATAAATGCTGTCATAGGTAAGCACGTCGGAAGGGGTATATCGTATACTCCGCGGGATAGAACTATTGCCCTGCAATATCCAGCGCTCCTGCAAATCCGTTACTTGCTGGAAAAAGGTGTCGATTGCAAGCAGTAGAAATGTCAACAGAGCACCTAAAGCAGCGAGCGACTTGCCCTTTGTTCGGCACAACAGCATAAACGATCCCCATGCGCCTCGCGATGCTTTATCGAAGATTTCGAAATCGAGAGCATCTCTGGACTTCTTTCCATGAAACCATGTCCACTTCAGCTGCCCAATGGCCTCTGATATTGGTAGGATGAGTGCTCCAGAGGCAATCTTCGAGAGGATCGTGATGATGGTCAACCCGGGAGGCCATTTGTCGAGAGATTGATCATGAAGATAATAAAGCAATCCAATGATCGCGCCTGGTATTGCCATCAGCATACGTACAGAACATACTGAGCCGAAGCTATTTTACCCAAGCAGACAGCACTTGTCGACACGCTGATGATTTCGAATAGCCAGCGTTTGAACACATTCTGGGACGTGTTGTACTGCGCTAGCTTCTGCTCGATGCGTCCTGGAAAATCCAAAGGATGTTTGTCGTGAACAGATGTTCGGTAGGATGGCGGGGGTGGTACGTTCGAGCCTTCATTGGCCGTTAAGAAGTACTGATGTTGCGACTGCGCGAGTGCAAGGGGGAGCTGCCCTCCTCGTTGTTGCGACATTAGGTGTATGTTCGCTCGATGGGAGTTTGAGAACACATGAGCGGTCAGAATGTGACGCTCTATAGGGCGTGCTAGAGTAGATCATTGGCAACCTCATGTCGTTTGTCGATCTTGTCAAAAGCTAAGCGCTCGATAGTTGAACATTCTGCAGCTTGTTCAGGAAGAGCAACATGATTGCGAGCTTGCTCTTTCAACGCAGGTGATCAATCGCATGCAAAAATTTGGGATTGAGCGTCGGCGACGCACACCTGTCTTTGCTCGGCAACACCGCCAGACCTGTCAGAGCGGGAGTTTTAGCGCCCATAGCGGGTTTCGCGGGGATAACATGCAGTCAAATGGAAGATGTAGCCCATACCATGGTAGCGCTGGGGCGCAAGATTTTCCACGGCTACCGTGCATCGGGCCATCTGTAGCCACATCGGTTGTATCATGAAAGATAAGGAGAATAAGCGCTGGAGCTGGTGTTGTCGTGGAAGGCAGAGCGCAAGGCGACTTGATCGAGGCAAAGGGTCTGGGTTTGGGCCCGAAGCGAGCCGGGCTAGGTGAGCCCAGAAACCTTGGGAGTACGCTCCCAAGCTACACCTACCACTGAACGTACCTCGAGACAACTAGCCATATGCTGCGTTGATAAGATAAGCGCGCGAACACAGCTGATAACTTGAAGATCAATCTTGGTATGAGGTGGGTATGATTTGGAATGTACTGATTGGTCGCTTCTCCCTGCACACGTAGTATGCATGCGATGTTCTTTGGATTGCATATACTTCTAGCATAGAGAAATAACAAGAACACATATAACAGCAACGTAGAGAGTTCTGTGAGTGTGGTTCAATGTCTCACAATAAGTACATTCTAACCGTTGTACGTGTAGCGCGTTCATTTCTTGCTAGATCACTAAGGCATGAAGAAGAAGGCAGTATGTTCCAGCAAAGACAAGTTGTATGACATAGGACAAGGTCCAGATGCATACATGCCTTGCTCCAGGGGAATGACGCCGATACGCTGTGTTGCGATAGCTACCTAGGTTTCTCTCGCTTAACACCTACACCTATGCAAAGAATACGAACGTCACGAATGTCGTATTGCTTGGCTGCGCGACGCCATGTGGAAGTTGGACCGGTCGTTAAGTGGGCCGCATATGTTGAGGCTGATAGAGAAACCATAATGGCCGATATCACAATGCGTAGGCCGTGTGATTGCTTGCGCATGATGGTCAAGGAAAGCTTGTCTAGCATTACATAGCTACGGTGTGTGACACCGCAGCGGGAGTAGAGAAAAGCATGCAGCCGCATAGCGGTCTTTGTAAGGTTTACATGCATGTTACGGTCGTGTCGTGGTGTGGAGGGTAGGGGTGCCCTGACAACGTCAGTGTCAGTTGCTGGTCGGCGCTTAGTCGTCGCATATCATTGGCAAGCCTCTTCTCACTGTACCAGGAACGACTTTCCGTTTCAGTGAACAGCCGTTACAGAGCACTCTAAGGGTACACCTGAACGACAATCAACCACCAGTAGGGCTTGGTAGTTATGAGGGGGCATGATGCGAATGCTGGGCAGTGTTGAAAGTGTTTTTAGGGTACAAAAAATCTCATTCATGGAACCCTAGTTAAGTCGGGTCAACATCGGCCGCCAAACATGGGATGAACGCCACCCCGAGTTGAAAAGAAAAAGTCTGGAACAAGTTGGAAAGAAAATGACTTCATTTTGTAAAACGAACATATTGGAATTCTATCAACTTAGCCGAAAAGATTCAGGGAGCGTAACGCTGGAAGAGTCACGTGTACGCATGGTCTGTGACTAGGTCGCGGGAACGGTTGATTGGCGTAAGGTACCGATCGCGCAGAGCCAATCGCTTCAACTCCACTGAAGGGGTCAAAAACGCCGCCAAGCCGTATCACATCGCCAATGCCTTTCGATTGGTTAGAAACTGTTCTTGCGAATGCTGAAAGCAAAGGCATCACAGGTGATGGATTGTACTTACAGGAATCTAGCTTTACAGAATTGCCTTGTAGAAAGCCCTACTCTCTGCGCGCTTCGGATGTGATAACTCGATGTGACGAGAATCGTGGAAATCTTCTGGTCCATTACGACGTGTTGTCGGGCGTCCATGAGACCACTCGCGTGTGTCGGTAAGTTTCAGCTTGCCGGATTGGTAACGCGACGATTATGCTTCCCCCCTCTTCTCTCCAATGATTGCTCAACCTCGACGCAATGCACCCAATCGTGCGCGCCCGACCTATGCAGCTTGCGTCGTGTCGGTGGCTTCCAAGGCGGTTATCAGCGAGGGTGACAGCGGGTTGAAGCGCCGTGGTCGAATAGTGGAAATGAGTATGTTGTGCGATGCTGTGACGAAGGGTGTCACCTTTGACACAGAACCTTGGATAAATGCACCACAGGTTCCCACGTTCGGACTCCATCCAACAGACATCGGAAGCTTGCTTTCATCCAACACTCAAGCTCTTGCTCAACCCTATCACCATCCGTCTCTTGTTCTGATCTGAGAGTGTTCCATCGTACTGTGTAATCTTCTTCCGTTACCATGTATACCCGAACAATATTCCTCATGGCGTCATTGGCCCTACCCATGTTTGCCGCGCCCGTACCAACAATTCATGTAAGTACTTTGTCTTACTGGCCAAGGGACCAAATGCTAATGTATCTTTAGGAAGTAAACAAGAGAGATGTCAATATCGAACAACGGGATAGCTTCTCTTTGCTCGACTCGTTGCGGGACGTTGTGAAAAGATATCCTATCATCGAAGCCATACCATCCGATGTGACATTCGATGTCGAACACAAGCGTGACGGAGCGGACATCGGAATCAGTGCTGAGGACGATGTGGCAGAAGATGACGTAGTGGAAGGTGATGAAGCGGAGCTGTATGAGAGGGGCATAACTCGCCACAAGGGTAATGGCAAGCGAGGAATTACCAAACCCAGTGGCAACGGCCGAAGAGGAATCACCAAACCCAGTGGTAATGGCCGAAGAGGAATCACCCGTACCAAGGGAAACGGAAAGAGGGGGATCACCCGAACCAAGGGTAACGGCAAACGGAGCCTCGTCGCGAGGGCTTTGGAATACATTCTTGGTTGAAAATCTTTGGACGTGTAGCGGGGATTCTAGCGGCTCTTTTCCATTCTTCTCTTTGTTTTCTTATGTGTTATTTTACAGATCTCCAAGGGCTCCTCCTGAAAACGTCTTGATCCTTCAGTTCTTGAGGCGAGGAAAAGAGAGCACTGGTATGCACTCAAATCCAGCCTGGTGGTGGTAGATTTGGTTTGGGCTTCGATGGGAAGGGAGAGAAGAGATTTCCTGATACTCGCCATCCATGGTTAGGTTGTAATTTTACTCTTAATTCTTTAGCCTTCGCACGCGGTGTGCCTTGGTCGGTCGAAGAGGTGATCTTCTGCTGTATATCATCTGACAGCCCATACAGCAGCGTGGCGATTGCGGAAGTCTTATACACGCCTACACGATCAACTTCAATCGCAGACTGGAGTACTGTTGCAGCCAAAAATATCAAAGCCGTAAACAGGAGGCCAATTGGAAGCGTCAACCATACCCAACGAACGTCGACATAATTCTCTTTGCTATACGCCTTCCCACTGAGCATTAACCTACTTTCCGTCGACGACCTGATAACGTTGGTCATGGCGGAAGCTAGCCTCTCCATATGCCTGGTAACATTGTTAGGCGCCAACAGAGGATTGAATGGCAGCTCCCGAGTGCTTGGACCATCCAAATAATTCTTGTACCTCAGCATGGGGCTTTCGGTCGGGGTCATTGCTGTGTAGTATGAAGGAATGTAGTCTTCAAAGACCAACATGACATTGAACGCAGTGGTATTCGACATCCCATATGTTTTGTTCGCAACCACCGTATCGGCCCCGCTGCGACTAGACGCCGGTGGAGTAATGGCGATATCCTGCGTATACAGAATCATCTGCGCAACCTCGGTATCGAGTTGAACCTCAAAACTCTCCCATGGGAATTTTCCAGTGGTCGTATTGAAGTTCACAGAGGTGATATTCTCGGTATATCTTCCCCAATCGTAGGAAGATTTGATGGTTTGGACGCACCAAGCGAGGACGCATTCGTGCGCAATAGGTGTTTCATTCCTGAACACGCTATTCACGCCGTCTGGAGCAGAAACAATGAGAGTGTCCATGATCGGATTCCTGATGTGTTTGAAGTTCACGGAGCCATCGCCATACAATGGAATCTTCGTGAGGAACTCCGTGAGAGGAAGAGACCGAACAAGCAAAGCTTCGCCCTCAACAGGTTCTTCCTCCGTGCCTTCCATGATGTATCCCGACATCAGGACTGGAGCTTCGCTGGTTGCGTTCAGATAGTAGCCACACACAGTTCCATTTGGCATGGTGTCATCACTGATAGGACCAGTCGAGTTGGCGCTCCAGTCGATCTTTGTATACAAACACGCCCACTCGAGCAGGTTTGATGCTTCGACGCACTGACTACATACGCCTAGTGTTTCGTATTCTGGCCATGTACAGTTACTCGTTGGACACGAGAGTGGTATCTCAGGTCTGGTCCCATTGCCAAACTCGACAGGCTGTGTACCGTTATCTACGAAGAACTGCGATATGACAGGTCGAAAGGCCGGATCGGCTACATTGGCTTCGAAGCCTTGGAAGAATTCCGGTTTGTAAAATGGTGTATAGCTCTCAGTCCGTGGTATCGAACTGGTGGTGTGCTGCAATGCCCAACGGTCCGGAAAGTCTACCACCTGCTGAAAGAAAGGGTCCAATGCCAGAGAGAGTAAAGTGATGAAGGCTCCTACGGCAGCCAGCGATCTACATTTGGTTCTGATCAAGAGCAACGCTGCACCCCAAGGACCCCGGGAGGCGTTGTCGAAGATCTCCCAATCCCACATTTGTTTGGAGTGATCTAGAAACCAACTCCACTTCAACTGTCCAAGAGCTTCTGCTACTGGAAGAATGAGCGCTGCACCAGCCATCTTGGAAAGTACGGATATCAGTGCGTTCAACGTCAGACCTGTCTTCTCGGCCAATGGCCATTTAGACAATGGCTCATCTTTGAGATATATGAGTACTCCGATGATGGTGGCCATGCATGCTGCGCTGAATGACCAACTGAGTATCTCCAATAGCCACCTCTTTAAGATGTTACCCGAACGTGTGTATCTCCAGAGTGTCTGTTCGATTCTCTGAGCGATGTTGCCCGATCCCTCAACGCCTTCTTCGATTGGCGCCGATATCTCGATAGAAGGCGGCTTTGGAGGTCCATTGATGATACCAAGACCTGGATGAAGACTACTAATAGGTGTTTTCTCATTGATTTCCTGGATCTTGTCGTTGATCTGCGGTATCTGAAGAGACGGTATGCTGTCGAGGCGAACTCGCGGACGCTGTGTGGGGAAGAAACGAAGAGTGGGCCGCCGAGAGTCCTGTTGATGCTGGATCTCTGGAGGTGGTTCTGGGATCGGCCATATGATCGAACGATGGCTGGACGTTTCGATAGTCGTAGTAGGGCTGGGTTCGACCGGGCTGACGGGTTGTGCGTTGATGTGAGCCGGGCTGAGATGCATTGGACGACCTTGTGCCGAGATATCCGGTGTCGTGGGAGTTGTGGGAGTTGTTCCATATGTCTTTGCTGTTGCACGCTCATCGCCAGTATCGAGATATATTGGGATGTCTGGGAAGGTCGGCCAGTGCATAGGGCTCTTCTGTGGTCGCGACATGTCTGGAGTGTGGCCCGATGTAGATATCGGGTAAGGCATTACAAGAATGTAAAAAATGAAATTGGAATACTTGAATGAACGATCAATGATGAAAAATTGTTTCGTCCAGATGTAGTAGAGAAGGGCCAGACTGTGATGAAGCTGCAGGCTGGTACTAGACTTACCATCACCATACTATAACGACATTCAGCTGCAGTATAAGCCTCCACAGACCATTTCCGTGATTGGAGTAGGCTCGAAACATCAAACACTGTTGTTACTGCGGCGTACATGCAAACTATGCCTTCGTTCTAGAAATCGGTGCATTACCGAGCCAACCCACCATTCATGGCACGAGCTAGCCGCAAGGACCAGATCCAACCTCCCAAAAAGCTTGCCAAGAGAGGCGGCTGAAGGCCATTTCCAGGACACCTGCGTGCGGCGCAGGTATCGGGAGCTGTCAGGCCGGAGCACCAACGTGGGTGTAGCCGTACAGAGCTTGAGTATAGCCGCTGGGTGTGGCCGCATGGCTGGGCTAGCGTATCTTATTGCCGCTGTGGTATTAAAACATATGCAGCTAGGCTTATTCTTAGTTTTGGCCCCATCATGAGATCACGTTTTGGATGACGTTGCGGCACAGTTGTATAAGCGCTTCGAGCCTCATCAGCCACTGTAGCCAATGTGAGGATGGGAAGATTGGAGAGACATGTTGGATATGCTGATCGAGCGAATTATGATGCAGCTTTCCAGCCTCGGAGGTTATCGCATGAACTTGCGCGGGGTTGTGGTCGTGGAAACGGCTCAGACGACAATGTTTCGATAATTTCTTGGGGGTCGCGATAGCGGGGTTGCGCTATCGTTAGGCGCGGAGCCGATAACCCCACTTATTAATAGCGGCCTATCATCGTCGAGGAATATTTAGCCATGCGTCTATTTTTCGAATATTCCACGTCGCTTCTATCGTGCATTCGTAGTCTCGGTGAAAAGCATACAACACATGCATGCATGAAGCAGGATTCACGTGACGGCGCTTGCTGCTATAGACGCAAACTCACAACAGCAGCTTTTCCAAAGAAAAAGGTAAAGCATGCCTGACTAGGTAGGTACGCTGAGAGGATGATGCTATGTCTCACATTGCCTAGCCTTCCATCTACATCCAACACTTCGCTTACTACGTTGATACTACCGTGGCTTGAGGCTCAGTATGCCATTCGATGTTACCTAGCTACTGACACGTGTACCAGGGCCGGGCCAAGCTAAATCCAGCCTGTCGGGTCGCGGCAATCGAGGCTTCGCTGCGTTCGTCGTGTAACCTCACTGGCCAAGATCATGCTCGTCTGTTGTTGTTTCAAAGCCGCCAGATTCCCATTCGTTCGGGATATTCTCCACAGGTCCCGATCAGTCGGAGATCAGTATCCTGTAGCCGCCGTCGCTTGATCGGTGAAATGGTCGTATGAGAGAACGAACTATTGGGTGCATCGTGTCATAGAAACAAACTTACAAATCTCGGGTGGAGATTCGCGCAATTGCCAACTCATTCAATTATTCGAGGGGCTGGCGATGATGAATCTCGAGCGATATGTTGCCGCCACGAGCACAAGCTCCAGTTTGATATGTTGCTGCGCCGCGTGCTAGGCCGTGAAGTGGGCCAGCAGGATAGGCAACAGTGCAAAACATGATACCGGGCTGGCATGAGAGATGTTTCTTGACCAACTATACGCAAGTCGGTTGTCCTTTACAGTAGGCTAGAACAACTATGAGAAGCTTATGTGAAGTTGTAGAGGAAAACCGATTCGCTATCCTACAACTCAGACAAAGCAAGATCAAGAATGAGTCATGCTTGAACAGCCACAAGTTATGCATCGACCTATCCCACTATTCTTGTCAACAAATGTTTCATAACCCTCTGAAGGAATGCGGCGACCTCCCAAGCGGCTTCAAACCCACTTCGTGAGCGCCAAATGCAACGGCTTTCCCAAGAACCGTTGAGATTAGATGCAGCCACCACTCTATCTGTGGCCTAAGCCTTCTTCTCCGGCGCTTCATGAAGCTCAGTGACGTTGCCTTCATGGCCCATGACCTTAGCGGTAGTTGCAGCGAGCGCATCGCGGTCTTCCTTCTCACTTTCGAACAGGAACGTGAGTTCTTCCAACGTCTTTCCGTATGTCTCCGGGAACAGGAAGTAGATGAAGACGATCTCGCAAGACAACAAAGCGATATACACGAAGAGGAACTTCCAGTCAAGGTCTTGGAGTCCGATGGGGTTGGTGAAGGAACCCAGCATGACGGAGCAGCGATTGAAGAGCTGAAACCACGAAAGGCCTTTGGTACGCACATAGTACGGGAAGATCTCAACCATGTAGACGTAGGTGAGAGCATTGTAAGCGATGTTGTATGCGGGCTTGTAGAGGAAGATCATGACAAGCACAGCGTAGCCAGTTTCTTTTGATCCAGTCATTCGGTTACGAGCCTGTGCGATAGTCCAAGCAGTGTATACGCATAACAAGCAGCTAGCACACAGTAAGTACATCCTGCGTCGTGGATATCGAGGTGTGATGGTCGCCATGACAAGTGCCATGAGGAAGCCCCATGCTTCGGAGCCGACATTGTAGCGCACTTGGGTGTGGCTGTCTTCGATACCGATCTTTTCCAGAATAGGGACGAGGTACTGGCTGATGAGATTGTTGCCACTGTACTACAGATGTGGATATGCGAAGTCAGTGTACGTCTCACATGCATTTCGTACAGTCATAACTCACCTGGACGAAGACACCGAGTCCAGCGGCGACGAGGGCACGATGTCGCATGCCTTTCGATTGGAAGAGTTCAGCCCACCCACGTTGTCGCGACTCATTTTCCAATTCCAAAGCTTTGCGAATCTCGGCAATTTCAAGGTGAGGTAGCTCAGCGGAAGCATCGCCCTCTGCATGATACTTGATCAATATCTCGAGAGCTTCTTCACTGCGGTCTTTAGAGACGAGCCATCGGGGACTTTCTGGTACTGTAAAAGCGAACACAACCTGAATGATAGATGGAACAGCTTGAAGGATGGAGGGAAGGCGCCAAGACCAGTCGCTCGGAATGAGTAGCGTACGTACGACTAGAGTTTGGTAGCCAATATCAGTACATTTTTTACATATGCCTCAAAGGGTAACATGTCCTACCTATACCAGCACCAAGTACGGAGCCTACTCCAAAGAATGCGTTGAAAAGGCTTCCCAAGAACTGACGTTCTTTGGGATGACCTAACTCGCCAAGAAGGGCGGCACCGGATATGATAGCGTAAACGATACCGTGACCTAAAAAGATTCTACTGAAGATAAACATCGGAACTGAGTAATTAACAGTTAGACATCGCTCTTCCACTCGTCTTGACAGGGACTTATGTACTCACGGTTTTGCGATAACCCCTGCATAACTGCTCCGATGATCATGATAGTAGATCCGAGGACGATACTCTTTCGCCTTCCAAGATGATCTGAAACAAGAGCAACGAGTGGGATACTCGAGATAGCTCCGAGGTTGTAGCATGCAACTAGCAAACCCAGTTGGCCTCCTTTGGGATGGTTGAAGTATTCTTGCCAGTAATCAAGAGCTTGCACTAGGTAGCGGATAAAGGATCAGCACACGTTCCACTAGTAACACCTCAGTGAACACTACTTACTTCCGTTCATCATTGAGCTATCAAATCCAGAAGTAGACTCAATGAAAAAGCAGAACGGTACCAGCAATAGGTAGAGACGCCGGAGATTGGGTTTGTTCCACCATCGTACCTTATCGGCAGCGACCACGCGCTCGATGATACCATCACCAGGACCTGCAACTGCTGGCGCCATAGTTATCTGGGGAGGTGAATATTCAAGTCCGTGGTGCTCTGGGTTTGATTCGCAGTATGCCACTTTCGCAGTTTACATACTGGAAGCCAAGCACTTCGTCGGTTCAACAGACCGTCGAACCGACTAGGGAATGCATATCCAGTATCCCTTCTCCTTGGCTTTGCGGGGTTTGTGCCCGACGGTATGGTTGATCACATCCTTCACCATGAAGCATGACCGTTGATCACATCAGATACAGATACCTCTCTGAGATAGCGTACAGTCGCCAAGTTTGGTCACTCTCTGGTTGGGTATGCAATGACTACGCCCTTAATGACACGGATAAATATCGTATCACGACAGGCTCTATCGTCTCGCAAAACCGGGTTCAGCGTCCGACTTGTGCATGTAGATGTATGTACAAGGCTGGATACAAATGACCCGACGCCCGACATACACCTCGCCGCTAGCCGCATTCAGCGCGGTCCGTGGTACAAGAGGTAAGGTTGAATGCGGGGAATTTCTTCTGCCGGATCCTCCACACGTTGTCTGGCATTGTCGAACTTTGCAGCTTTGTCAGTCGATCCTCATTTCTGGTCTGTCGATGGGTCGTGATGGAGGCTGGTTCAGGGTCCGCGGTCAAACGTCCGGATGTGAGTTGAAGTGTTGCATCCTTCATTGACTGGTTCAAAAGTCGCAATAGGAACGCAAATGATTGCAGCCAGACGAGACGGCGTTGTGATTGCCTGTTAGCGTAGCTGTGTTTCTCCTGTATGCGGTTGCAAGCTGCGAAGTAGCTGTTTACTCGGAACGATGAGGGGGCTGGACGCAGGCAGAATTAGGGGCCGAGCACAGATCACCAAGCCACACCTTCTGAAGCTCTGTACTGCGTCATCGCACCACCCACCATCCCAAGATGACTGAAGCGGTGCGCAAACTTGTCCGACATGATGGTACACACACTGATATCGCATTTTGGAGGTTCAGCTGAATGCTATCGCATGTGAGAATTGCAGATCGAAGAAGTGCAAATGTGACCGGAGGATGTCGGTGACTTACATACCAGCTGTGGAGCTTCAGCTAACGACCTCAGTCCAATATGCACTCAATGTCGAACTTCGTCGCTACCATGTCATTACCAAGAGGGTGGCAAGAGAGGGCTTCCGGCTGCATATATCACTGCTCTTGAGAAACGGCTTGCGGATACCGAGGCTGCACTCTCCGCTTCTCTCATCACGCTCCAAACTCAGAACGCAACACGATTGACGGACGGTCGTTTGTCGGGCGCAATATCGCAAGCTTCGCAGCCTCAACGCTCAAAGGCTGAAAAGCTCGAAGAGTGGAAGCGCTTACCTCTACAAACAGACGAACAATTGGCAGCATGGCTTCAAGCACGGCATCCTGACGGTGCAGCTCAAGCGGCATCTCAATCAAAATCTAACGATACCCTTCTTGCCTACCAAACTCATGATACGCTCAAGGCACCGGAAACGCGACCCGATAATAACGCGCATCCATTTCCCGAAGCCCACGGAACCACAGCGACCTCAGCGTCACCCATCGAGCAACTACGAGACTGCAGCAAACCGACAATGCCGAACGTACCGCGAGACTCCTCCACACAATGGCGAGAGAACTACTTCTGAACATCAACTGGAAAATGTTCGGCACAGGTTTATACTGAAACAAAAGGGTCGAGCGATCTATCGGTTCGTCATTATACGAGTCGAACGCAGAACATCTCGTATTGCTGGTGATCTGTAGCAGCCCCGCTTGCTGCTTGGTGTCCATATACAGAGAGAGAACAGCCGGAAATCGTCAAGGAGATTGTTTATGCACGAAGTGAGAAGATCCTAGCATTGGCAACACGACGCCGTAAACGCTTTGCGTTAGTGCTGGTATAAGACGTTTCAAGGGCACTCTAGAGAACAAACTTCACAATGGAGAAGGTCAAGCAAAAACGCGAACCGATCTTCATTGCGCGCTTAAACCCTCTATTCGACTTTCAGAACACTATCAAGCACTCCACACCTCTTCACCCAACTCCTTGCACGCTTTCCGTAGATGTACATTGGAATCGTTGCCAGCGTGACAGCAATGGTAGTTCCGCCGATAACATAAAACGCGTCTCTTACACCCTGCACCGCGATCCAGTCATTGGCATAGAACGTCAAGCCGAATGCAAAAAGATTCTTGATGAAGTTCATAATGGCAAAGGCCTCGGCGGCCTGCTCGCGATGGCAATCGGAGACGTAGGTTACCACGGCGGTAGTTCCCAACTGAACACCCAGGTTGATAAGGCCCATGCAGACAATGACGGGAATCGGCCACGGGTCTTGATTGTAGAGCGATTGGCCCCAGGCAAAGAATCCGGTCGCAGTGAAAATTAGGTACGTGATCATCACAGGAAGACGAAACTCGGGTTCTTGTAGAACTGTTAGTCGACTGAGATCACAATTTGAACGGACAAGACTCACCGAAAGTACCGTTGTTGCGCGTCGACATGAACTTTGCTACTCCATCGATGATCGGTCCGGCTACCAGCGTGGCCAGTAACGACGCTACGAATGACGATACATTCGTTGCGCCGACTGCACTAACGGAGAAACTGTATGGTGGGGCGGAGAAGATCTGCGACAATGTGATAGAGATCAAGACGAGCCAAGATATGCAGATCGTGAAGAGCAAGGTGGCCCACATGACTACAGGGCTCATGATCACAACAAAAGGACGCAAGAATGTGCGCCAAAAGGAGACATGATCCCAATAACCAGACCATGGCATAAGAGTCTTGACGTAGGGGTCGGCACGCTCCGAAGAGACGGATGCATGGATCGCGTGGTCTTCGATACGCTCAATGGCCTTCTCCTTCTCCATCGTGTCAGTCTCTACCGTTTTAGAACTTGTATCGATATTGATAACGTTGTGACGGTGGTAAGCGGATTCGGGCATGAAGAAGAAGACGAGGAGGAGCATGACAACAAAGGCACCACCCATCGCGTGCATTGCGATGCGGTAAGAGCCGTATTGGATGACGGATCCAGCTGGGCTTGTTAGCTTCAGAACGCGAAATCTTGCTGATGTGCCTCACCGATTGGGCTCGCTAGGTTCTGCGGAATATGTCAGCTAGCTGTAATGCAGCAGGCGCGAAATAACTTACGATACCACCGAGGACACCGAGATTGAAGATGGACATTCGGAATCCGCGCTCGTGTACATGCCAGATGTCTCCGACTGATGCTGGAATGAGTGCCTCGAAGGGCGCTTTGGACGTCAGCAAAGTTCTCCTCGACCATACGTGGAATGATCATACCCATGCACAACCCTTGGATAGCTCTCGCCGCTGCCAGAGAAGGGAAGCTGGTAGATTCTGCAGCCCAGAAGCACGACACCGCCAAACCCAGCGTGGTTATAAGATAGACTGGTCGTCTTCCGACCTTCACAGCTAGTGTGTTGCACAGAAGACTCCCAAATGCGATGGCGACGATACAAGAACCATTACAGCCTATGAAGGAATTGTGTGTTAGCTTGATGCTCCAATGATAAAACTATGAGGCATCGAGCTCACCTAGTGTAAACCTCTGTAGAGGGACGTTGAATTGTTGTGCCAGTGGTACGAAAGCCGGCGTTAGCAGTGGGCCGACGGCTGTGAGATACACCATTAGCTCAGTACATGGTGCCCAGAGTTCGCAAGCTTACCTCCTACACAACCGCATCCGTACGCAATGACGAGGGTAAACTATCAGGTCAGTACAGGCCTCCCAATCGGTCTCAAAAAGTTCAACCTACCATCTCTTTCTTCCATCTTGGCCAATTATACGGATCGTTGGGTGAATCAGAGGGTTGCGGCACGAGTACAATCTGCCCTGTAACATCATGCTTGAGCAGTCCACGGTCAACATCAGTCGAGACCTCAAGATCAATACGACCAAGCTCGCTCAAAGGGGCGGTTCCCGGGACATGTTCGAGCTTGTAATCCTGCAAGATACCCAGAGGCATGGTCGCTCAATGTTCGCGTATCTGGCTACGGTAGCGACGATGAATTGGACGATGCGCAATCTAGGTTCTGCAGCAGATAGATGGAAGATGCGGTCCTAAAGTGCTGGAGATGCAACGGGCACTATAATGTGGGGGATGCGCCATCCCACGGCAGTTGTTTTGGGCCATGGATAATTGAGTCGTGGTGTGCGGGGAAGGATGCGGGGGTTAGCTTTGGGTTGGTCGCGCATGTATCCACTGCCTCATGTCGCAGACGACAAGCATGGTTCGGCGCGATGTCGCCGATGGAGATGCTGGTAAATCTTTCCTGTCCTGGATCAGGACCTCGAAAAGGAGACGAGATCTACAGCGGCTCTGCCATTAGGTTCTGACTACTCCCTGAGTATATTTGCATGCCTTCCTCGAAGTTACCGAACATGCATATAGAAAGCAGAACAATATAAATACATCAGTGGCTGTATAGACGGACAGTACATGGCTTCGTGTTGTAGTGATCGTCCGTTCATACTGTGTCAGCCTGAAGCGAGACTGCATCAGCCGCAAATCAAGTTCCGTATCGGATAATGACCGAGATACAGCTCCACCTGCGGCTATCGTTTCCATAATATCATGCCGGTTCTGGCTTCTACCGACTTGTATTGTATACCCTCTCTAGCTCAGCGCAGACCGCATCGGTCACGTCCTTCGTTGACGCTTTGCCCCCAAGATCGCGAGTCGCAATGCCTCGCTCAGTGATGGCTTCCACGCTCTCCATTAATCTCTTCGCAGCCTGCTCCTCGCCTAGCCATGCTAGCATTTCAGACGCTGTCCAAAAGGTTCCTACCGGGTTTGCGACACCCTTGCCAGTAATGTCGAAAGCTGAGCCGTGGATTGGTTCAAACATGGACGGATTTTGGCGTGTGGGATCGACTGTTATCACTTAGTATAAGCAGGGTGCATTGTTTGTGGGATAGGAAAGTACGTACGGTTGCTGGTAGGAGCGATGCCGATGGAACCTGCCAATGCGGCTGCCAGGTCGGAAAGAATATCCGCGTGCTTGTTAAGTCAGTAAATCGTGACGAGGACACATATTGTGTTACTCACCAAGTTCGTCGCTACTATCGTATCTAACGATTTTGGGTCAAGAACCATCCGGCACGTCATAGCGTCGACGAGCATTTTATCGCACTTGACGTCGGGGAAGTCTTTCGCAACTTCAGCAGCAATCTCGTCCCACATAACCATGCCGTTACGTTGCGCGTTACTCTTGGTGACCACTGTTATCTGTTTTCTCGGTCTGCTCTGAGCTGTTTCGAAGGCGAAGCGTATAAGTCGTTCCACACCATGACGAGTAAAGATGGAAACCTCTGTAGCCGTCTCCCATTTTTGACCTTTGTGTGACCGGCCTCCTTGTCCAGCATATTCACCTTCAGAATTTTCTCGGACGATAACCCAATCCAGATCGCCATGCTCCGCATTGCGCAAGGGCGACGATGTTCCTCGGAAAATCTTGGTCGGCCGAACATTCGCATACTGCTGGAAAGTCTGGCAGATAGCAAGCCGCAAGCCCCAAAGGGAAATGTGATCAGGCACGTCTGTTAACGAATTCAGCACATGACTTTGCGAAGCTCAGTATCTTGCAACATACCTGGCGCGCCTACGGCACCGAATAAAATGGCATCATGCTTCTTGAGCTTCTCTAATCCTCCATCCGGGATGTATTGACCAGTCTTCTTGTAGGTCTCAGAACTCCAGTCGTAGTCTTCGAATTGCAGATTGAATGTGCCATCTAGTTGTGCCAGCTTCTTCAAGACTTGAACGCCAGCATTGACAACTTCGGGGCCAATACCATCAGCGCCCATAGTCGCAATAGAGTGCGTGCGTTTGTTGGCGTCTGAAGACATGTTGTTGACGAGCTGAAAGCGAGGATTGAGAATGGGCGTGGCAACCGTGAACAACTGAATTGGTATCTTGCGCCACTCTATGTGTGCTGTCTTTTAAGCCGCAATACTCGGACTAAGAAACACCATCTTCAGACTGCTTGTATTTCCTATGCTGCGCGTTGCGGCTGGTCCCGCCACTGGTGTGCTCGATTTGGATAAGTGCGGGGAGAGACGGAGAAAGAAAGTCCGAGGCTTCGTTACCGATTTCCACAGCGCGCAGCACCCACCTGACATCGAAGCTTGCTACCTTCAGAAATCCCAGTGCTGTCCTTGGTCAAACCAAAAAGGTATGTCGAAACCAGAGAACGGGTCCAAGCCACTAGAGTACTCAAGAGATGAGGCGTCGGCACCTTCGGCTCCGAGGAAGACATTCCAGTAGCTGTCGCTTTCACCAAGATCAGTACTATCTTGAGCTGGGTTGCTCGTTGCGGTAGAGTCGAATGCTGAATTGGGTGGCTTGTCCCATGAATCATGGTGAGGAGCAACGCCATTGACCACTTGGCCATCATCTTGATCTGAGGCGTCTTTACTGGCAGGTTCGTGCAAGGCCGAACGTAGACTCGACTCGCTTTGCTGAATGATGGAAGGATCTCTAGGGATGTTCGGCCTGTGCCCAACAAGAGCCTGGACAGGTTTGTGTAGTATTCGAGCCCGCAAGTCACGAATGGCAGCCGAACTTGCTTCTGGCCATGTGCTGCCGCGTCGCCCAAGATGTTGAAGTATGTCGAGGCTTTTGTCTGCGAATCTTTGTTACATGCGTCAGCAGGGATACACCATTTTGAATGTGACTCATTTACCTCACGACAACAGCATGGGCGATACGACTCTCGTGAGCAGCGTAAAACATGATGAATGTACTGATCCATACAGCCCATGTGCAAGAGGGCCACAACAAAGCTAGTGGATTGTGAATCGTTCCGATACTAGACTTGGTCTGGATAGCGCTGTGTAAAGTGGTGATGATGCTACGCGCAGAATTGATGCACTGTTGTAAGGCAGCGTCGTATGCGACGTCTTTGCGAGAGGTGGCTAAGACTGGGCGATACAACGAGATGATCGACTCGTGTCTAAGCAATGTCAAGACAGTAATCGCGTAGGTAGAAGCTCCAGATTGGCTGTCCGGATCGATGTAGTCTTCAACATCATTCCACCACTGGCTTAGCTTGGCTATGATCGAGGTCGCTCGGTCGGGATCGTTCTGAACGTAGTGTAACGACTTATTGCGCAATTCTATAATTTCGCCGCGTAACCTAGCTTGCTGCGCTTGAAGATGCAGCAGACGAAGTTTGATGCCTGTCAAATATGAGCTAGACCATCACCACACCATGACCAAACTTACAAGGCTCAATATGCGTCTGTGGGTGGTGTTCTGCTAATGGGAAGCATACGTCGATATCGTCATCGTGCAGGCCGAGCGGTAGGCCCATAGACTGGGAAATGAACCGATCGATGGCATACAGTGACCAAAACACACGTTGCCGAAGCTCTCTTGCACTTGATGTGAAGGCTGAAAACCTAGCTGGGCAGCGATGAAGGCCTAGCTGCACGGCCATGCGCATGATGAGCCCTCCAATGCGCGATGCTGCGTTCAAGCGGAGCATGGACACTAGAAAGAGCTGCACACTGAGAGCGGCCTGCAGCGTAAGTATGCTTGTGGGACGTGATAGAATCGCCCGAAGGCTATCGACAGCGGCATCGTATGACGGAAAGACGATACAGGCAGGGTATTGAATACATCCATGCCCAGAGGATTGTCGATGGTCTGCAAGCGAGATGGACATGATCGATCGAACTATCACCAGATCAAGCTCTTCCGAAGTATCACGTTCAGGAAAGCCGTTCTTTGCATAGCAGTCGAAGTACTCTAAGATAGTCGGCGCGTGTAGGAAGGGGTAGAGCGTATGCCAATTGGCAAAATAGCTTCCAGAAAATGTGACCAAGTCTTGGAATGATATATGAGGTGTCTGGCTGAACGCAATTTCAGCGTCTCGCCATAAACGCTTAGAAGAGTTGGGCTGCACTAGAGGTAGGTGATCATCTTCACCCGGCACGATATCGCTCCCAGGCGTTTCTGCGGTAGTACCAGTAGGCACGGTGGACGGCCGAATCGCACTATACACCGACCTGATGAAGAAGATTCCACTGGCGCTGCCGACAAAACCCGGAAATTGATCATCTGGGACGCTGCGCATCAGGCCAACTTCGCGAGCAGGCTGTCCCAATGTTCGTTGTCGCTTCGAAGGTCGGTGTTCCTCCAGGGAGACATCGGATGGCGAATACCTATCCTGATTATGTTCCATGGGTGCAACCGCGCTTAGTGACGTCAAAGATCAAGTCGAGTGGTGTATTTGGTGACTGTTCGTGCTGATCTGATATGGTTGTTGAAAGCAGTGATCTTGTTACATGAGGGCGGAAGCGGTGGTAATCGGGTTGTACGCCAAAGCTGTCTGCAAACCTGGTTCATTGCACCCAAACCTATTTCCAGCATACGGGTTGTATACCTTACGTGACAAGATTGTGCAAGGAGATCGTAATGGAAACGATGGCGGTGGCTGGGAGTGGCTTGAGATTTTAGGTCCAAGCGGCACAACCGTGCGAACCTCGGCGAAGTCCTGCGGCTGATTTGGCGTGTATCGCGCGTGCCTTTGCACTTTCCATCGTGACTTTACGCATGGTGACGCGCAAACGATGTCTTCGGCGACTCTCGATGCTTCTGCTGGGCGCCAGCTGCCAACCAGAGTTAGCAACGCGTGTGAGAGGTGTCGTCGCAACAAGAGCCGAGTTAGTTCCGCCCTCCCACAGCCCGTCACGCGCGCCATGGACTGAGTAAATCGAAGTGCGACATATCTCGTCCTTGCGCGCTCTGCGTTCGAGCAAATGTCGAATGTGTCGTAAGCAATGTCGAGGTGCCAGCCCGCGCACCGAAAAGAAAACGCACTCGGGGTCCTTCCCGTGAAGCTTCTCACGAGCAACCGCCAGCTCCGATGCAGAGCCATGACGATGCGCATCAAACGATAGACACAGAGATTAACAGTCGCGATGAGAGTAGACGTGCCAGTATGGCAGAGGGCGAAGCTAACTCAGCCATGGATATTGCTCACCAGATCTACCGACTGGGAAGCCAGCCAACATTGAAGCGGACAACATCAGCCATACCGGGTGGTGACGTATATGGCAGAGCCCCGGCACCTCGATTAGACCGTAGCCAAAGGAAAAACATAGTCGCTATCCTTGGTCATCCTTTACCACCCACCGACATGATGCGTGCGCTCCTAGAAGAGTACTTTGACTCGGTCCATTGGTTTAGCTTGGTCATCTATGAGCCAAGATTTCGGGCGAAGTTCGAATCTATCAGAGATGGTCATGCCTATCCCTCACAAAAGTCGTTCCTTCTTCTCCTATCCACTGTTGTTGGCATGGGAGCATGGTACAAATCTCACAAGAAAGACATGGATCTGGACTTTCCGGACGAAGATTGGTACGCCTGGTCGCAATCACTCATCCAAGGCGCGGGTTCTCAACTCACTGAACTGATGGACCAAAGTACGATTTCATCGGTTCAGACGTGCATCCTGCTTGGCTCTTACTATGTCTATCATGGCAAACCTAATTTATCTTTTGCGTTACTAGGTGCAACCATTCGAACGGCGCAATCGATTGGCCTTCATCGCCAGCCGCTACGAGGTGACTCACACTCTATCGAGGAGAGGAAAAGAGTTTGGTGGACTATATACACATGGGACAGATTCGCTTCTATCACTTACGGTCGGCCTATTGGTATCAACGAGAAGGACTGTAATACAAACCATCCCATTGACATATGCGAGTCGCCATACTTCAAGCCAGGAGATCCTCCAGAAGCGGATTTGACGATATGCTACTCGTCCTACCAACGAGAGCTCAACAAACTTTATCTCATTGCGTCACCTATTATCGAGATCATTTTCGGAATGCGCGCTGTGGGACCCAATGAACGACCTAGTGGGCCGCAGTACACTGATCAGATCTTAGAAGTGACGGAAAAGCTCTGGGCGTGGCGCCGGCATTTACCGCCTCATCTTCTACTTGATATGGCTTCCGACTGTAGTATCGACCAGTCTCGCACTACGCGTGTACACCAACTGCAGGCCTTATCTCTTCAGCTTACGTTTGACAACCTACTGATTATCTTCAACCGCCCGTTGATCGCGAAACAAGTGGACCATCTCATCAGGACGCAACCGGAAAGTGGCCATGGTGTCGCATTATCACCAGCAAGCCTTACGAACACCGGATCACCATTCCTTACAGCCCATGAGTCCAGCCCGCTGAATACAAGCCATATGTCGAGCACCGAGCAGTGGTGGCACGCGGCGTTGAGAACGTCGAAGGTCACCGAATTACCGCGGCTTTCTCAACTAGCCACTGATAGTCACCTGGTAGCTTTCTTGGCTATCAATCTATTCAATTCCGCTATTGTCATGGCTGTGTTAGCATTGTCCGATCCACTTTCGGACAGAGCACAAGAAGTAAAGAGGACCATTACGCGGATATTTCGCCTACAAGAACTACTCGGGAAGAAGACACAGCTTTCGATGCAGAGCAATGTAGTTCTTAAAGATGTTATCCAGATGCTGTTGCGTAGGGAAGCAGATACTATATTTGGCGAGAGCGACATTACAAGATCACATGCAGGGACGGCATTGATGTCTGTTGAAGACACCCTTCGTCTTCCGACGCAGCTACCATCAAATGGACACCATAGACCGCAACACAATACAGTGGACAGGATGCAACGCGTCCACGAAAGCATGGCATCAGTGCAGAGAGGTGAGTTGTTCTTGATGCATTTCCGAAGAACTACGAAGCGTGCTGATGCTGTGCTCTACCTAGTTTTTCCTACGGGTCTCGATGGTACGTATCGTGATGACACCGCTGACGTCCAGCAATGGGCTGCCAACAACGGTGATACGGGTCACTTACCTAGCGGACACAATGTAGATTGGCCAAACGCCGGCACACAGGACTTCAATCTGGAAGGAGAGTTAGACTGGATCAGCGATGACAATAATGTTGATGTCACTGGTAACGGATTATATTGGTTCTGGGATTCTGTCTGGAATGAGCCTCCGCTGTAGCGGTCGCGTCGCGAACAGTCTGCGCCGGGCGTCCATTGTTCTGGAAAGAAATATATACATCAGCGCGATATGTGTTCGGCGCATCATAAATTACAGCTTTGGAAGATCAGACATCTGTCTGATATGCTCGGTGCAGCTCTCCGCAAATGTCCTATCGATACCAGGCCCGTATATAAGCGACTTAATGCCGACTCTGTTCGCAACATTGGCAAAAGCTCTCTCGGCGTCCGAGAAGGCGAACTCATGAGTTATGAGACTATCTAGTCGAACGCGCTTAGACTCCAACAGCTGAATGGCAAGCTTATAGTCTCCTGGTCCATATCGAAAGCTCCCTTTGAGCGTAGCCTCTTTGTCGCATATCTGACCGATAGGGAACGCGATGCTTGGAGACCCGAGCCCGGCTTGAACGAATATTCCACCGCGTTTCAATGCGGCTACACCGCAGTTGATACATGGCTCTGCTCCTGTTGCGTCCACCACAACATCAAAACCTGCGACCAGTCTAGCTTTCTCTGAAAGCTTCTGAGCGTTGGTTTCTGCAGATGCAGCTTCCATCATGTATGTGTCGTCCGCGCCGAAGTCTGTCGCAAATGCCAGTCTGGTGGCTACGGCATCTATTACGATGACCCTCGCGGCACCAAAAGCTTGCGCGACAGTACAGCACAACAAGCCTATAGGTCCAGCCCCGAAAACTGCGACAGATTTGCCCTGCAAGTTTCCAGCGAGTCCACAGCAATGTACGGCTATACTCAATGGCTCAACCAAGGCACCCTCACGGAACGATATGTGCGACGGCAGCTTATAGCAGCATTCTTCGGGTAGACAGTAGAAAGTCGATAAGGTGCCATTGTAGGGCGGGGTAGCAGCGAACTGCATCGATTCGCAGAGGTTGTAGCGGCCGCCGCGACATGTCTCGCATGTGTTGCATCCTACACCTGGTTCTAGTGCAACTCGATCGCCTACAGATAATCCTTTGACCTCTTCTCCACAGGCCTCGACGATGCCTGCAGACTCATGGCCAAGCGTAATGGGAGAATCAACAACATATCGCCCTATGCGTCCATGCTGCCAGTAGTGTACCTGGGTAGCCATCAACGTTAGTCAATGCAGTACAATATACCAGGAGAGATTGCATACGTCAGAACCACAAAGGCCAGTAGCTACAACCCTCACGCGAACATGCCTTGGTGTTCGAAGCTCTGGGATTGGCCGATCTTCGTATGAAAACTGCTTCGTAGGGCTCAGGACGAAAGTCTTGTTGATCGGTGTTGTGGTTGGATTCTCTGGAGACCATGCCAAGGACATATTCTGTGTGAGAGCGATGTTGGGATCGTAGACGTCGGCTGAGGAAATCATGATTTGAGACATAATTTACGGGAGTGTTTGCGGCGTATTTTCACCATTATGTCCCCCAGACTATATCCCGGTCAAGCGTTGGTGTCCGACAACGAGTGCGAGTGCGTTTCGGTTCCGGCGGGTCATGCATGCTGCTGACTTTCGGATGCGCAGACCAGTCGGGCCACTTTGCTACCCAGCACCGGTTCCGCGGCTCTTAGCCAGAACACTTCTGATTGGTTGGTGCACCAGGACCATAGCGGTTGAGCGCAGATCGACTATCCGAGTGACACATTAGTGCACGCCGACCAAATTTCTTCGCTGCAGGGCCAACCTTGGGACCGGAACCGTGACAGGACTTGACTACACGCGATCATGTCAAGCGCTTTTGACGGCGAGAATCTGGGGATAATAAAGTTGTCATGCTTCCCCAGATTTCTCCATCACTCAACCGCATCTTCTCCGCGTCTTCGAGAACAGACACTATTTCTCTACGCCTGTCCTCATCTTCACTCTCTTCAACATGGCTACCCGTAGCAACTCGGTCGCCAGCCGGAGTGCCAATATCCAGCAGCGTGCCTCTCAGATTGCTGGTCAAGTTGCGGCTGAACAAGGCTGGCTCGAAAGCAAGCTGAAGCCGAAGAAGATTACAGCCAGATACCCGATTAAAGGAAAGGCCTTGTTGTTCGCAACATGTGGCTTTGGTAGTCTTGGTGATGCTTTGTTCGGTTACAACTCTGGTACGTATGAATATGTATGTATGTTGAGGAAAAGTACTGACACTGCTAGGCATCATGTCTGGCCTGTTGGTCAACCCGGTATTCGTCAGACGCTTCTTCAGTGATTATGGTGGTGCAGATGGTAGCACGGCAGCAGTCAACCCTTCTATCACGGGAATATCCGTCGCTTGCCTGCAAGCTTCCGCCGCTGTGGGCGCTCTTATTGCTGGACGTCTTGGTGACATGATCGGTCGCAAGAGGACTGTTCGTCTCGGTGGTCTGATATATTTCTTCTCCGCCTTTATCCAAATCTTTGCTCCAGGCTTCGCAACCTTCGTCGTCGGGCGAACGATCCAAGGCTTCGGAGTAGGCTTCCTCTCCATGACAGTCCCCATCATCCAAACCGAAATCGCGGCACCCCACGCTCGAGGCCTCATGGTTGGCATCGAATACACATGCCTAATCGCTGGTTACATGTTGTCTTGCTGGGTTGACTACGGCTTTCACTTCATGCTTCCGGACAACATGAGTTGGCAAGGCCCATTCATTATCCAGATCATCTTGTCCTTCATCTTGGTAGTCATGTCGTTCTTCCTCCCAGAAACTCCAAGATGGTTAGCCAACAACGGATTCATGCAAGAAAGCCTTCAGACAGTCGCAGATCTTCACTCGAGCGGCGAAACCGACGCTCCGCATGTGCAAAAGACCTTCTTCGAAATCCAGGAGGCCGTCGTTTACGAAGCTGAACTCGGCAAAGCCGGTTGGATAGTGAGTCACCTTTTCCACATTGAGCTCATCTCATTTTGATAGACGCTAACGTACTTTTGCCATAGGAAATGTTTACTCGATACCGTAAGCGCACCATTGTCGGTGTCACCGTCCAGATGTTTGCTCAGGTGAGTTATGACTGTACGAAATGCATGTGATACATACACTGACTTCGCATCTCCACATCTGTAGCTAAACGGTATAAACATTATTTCGTTCTACCTACCTTCAACGCTCGCCAGTGCCGGCTTCTCCGATGAGAGGTCTCTTCTCTATACCGCTGCAAATGCCATCCCTTACACAGCAGCTACCGTCGTTACATGGTGGCTAGCCGATAGATGGGGACGCAAGCCCCTCCTCATCCTTGGTGGTGTTTTGATGGCCGCATTACTCGGCGTCGTCTGTGCTTTCACGGAAGCCTCGATGCCCATCATGACCCGAGCTAATGGCCAGTACGCTTTCATTATGCTTTACAACATCGTCTACGGATTTACCTGGGGCCCAATGCCATGGTTGTTGCCCGCCGAGATCTTCCCGCTCCGAGGCCGCAGCAAGGGTATGGCGCTTGCGACTACGTCCAACTGGATCTTCAACTTCATCATCGGCATGGTTTCACCTGATGCTTTTGCGGGTATCGGTGGATACTTCTACCTCGTTATCGCGGGCTTCTGCCTCTTCTCAGCAGGCCTTGCTCACTTCTACTATGTAGAGACGGCGAACCATTCGCTGGAGGAGATTGCGATGGCATTTGGAGACAAAGCCTTCGCTGACGGAAACGAAGAGGTCATGGATACTGTCAAGGCTGAGGATGAGAAGATTCACAACAACAAGGTCTAGAGAGCTGCAGGCTGTAGGAAGTGAGGCAAAGAAAGGGGATGTGTTGTGTAGTCTCCCTAGAAGCATACTTTATGGTAAAGCTCAGTTCAAATTTGATGATTCAGTATATCTTCTTATACCCACGAAGGATCAAATGTTTATTGACTATGTGATAACTAAGCCGTGAAACTCGTGAATCATAGGACAAAGGATTAGATCCGTAAGCTAAACAAGCTTTGCAATATATTTCTCTAAGCTCAATCCTAAGTTAACAACAAACTGCCATTGTGTATTACCGCGAAAGAATCGTGACCAGATATTCAGAACAGCAAGACCAAGCGTGTAGGGCTCACTGGGTACAGTTAGGATGCTGTCGCTCTCTTCAACCTCGTCGAAGTCGATCACCGCATACGCTTCTTTGATGATGCACCGGACCCAGTGAAGAATGCGATGCTCTGACCGCGACAGCAAATCCTCTCGGAATGGCCTCGGGATGGAGCATAACCATTTACCAAGAAATATAGCACACTCGAAGCTGGATATGGCATGCTGAACGCTCCAAAAGAACGCTTGGCTTCGCGCAACTCTGTCAATTCCCAATCTGACAGGTATACTAAGCGCATGTGTCGAGTACAAAAGAGCCGATAGTAGATTATCATTGCGCTCAATATCTGGAACGTTGGCAAGGCCGTCAGCTATAACTTCAGCACTGCGCGACTCTAGGTGACGATAAGGTCCAATATCTAGTGATAGGCGCACGTAAGCCACCACCAATAGCGCGCTTGATGTGAATGGGATGGGCCCACTCTCGTTGTTAGGATCAAGCATAGATTCCGGAGTTTGCTGCCAAAGCGATGTCCACGCGCGGAGAGCACGACTGATTACATGCAGTTCTGTAGCTGATATTGTGGCAGGCGAGGTGGCGGGAAAAGAAAGTTCTCGTACTACGTGAATCCGCTGAAGCAAGGCATGAAGAAGAATGTAGTTTCCGATTGGACTCGGTATCGGATGTACGAGTTCTGAAACATGTCAGTCGACCTATAACTATAAACGAAGAAGCTATTGCTTGGGTAGCTGACCTTGGTTTGCTGTGCCTTGCAGAAGTATCGACAATGCTTGTTGGAAGGGCATATGGTCTTCTCTCCCATCCCGCTGTAGCGCGGACCACTGTGCAGCGCTACTGGCTTGCCACACAGGGGTGCAGCAAGGCAATCGCAGATGAAGTTCGCTGCTCCAGAGCAGGGGGTGAATGTTGTATGCGATGCTATGCACATTGATATAACAGAATGCTACGAGCTTGGTACGTCTGGACGACTCGTGCTGTACCCATTGGTCCCACATTGCTGCTCTGGAAGTTGAAACGTTTCTGCTCGGTTCCTCTTCTCTAAGGCCGATATCTCGAAGCGTTTGAACCAAAAGGCCTCTGAGTGCGAACGCTTGCTGTAGTAGGTCTTTCCTTTCCCACGTCGCAAATCCCACCAGGATCAATAAGGTCTTCGCCAGATCCAGGGGCGACCATGGTCCTATACGTCTAGTGGTGAAATGCGCTTCCGGTGAAACTATATTGGTAGAAGCGATAAAAGCAAGAGTCTGTGGACCAAAGTGTGACTCTTCCTGCCGAAGGCGTTGAAACACGATGGCTTTTGATACACGAAAGAGACGCTCTGAGCTTCGTCGCTCGAAGCAGTATTGTGCTCCAGCAGCACACATAGCCAGGGTCAATTCCAAAGGCGAACATGACGGTTTGTATGTTGGCGAATGGATAAAAGGGAAGTGCGAGTGGAAACCGCCAAAGAACGCGGTGATATACCTAGTAAGTGTATGTCGGGAGGGTATCTGGAAATCGCTGATGGGTGAAGGAAAGCTCTCAAGCAGCGAAACCAAGAAGTTGCGATGTTCATCCGTGACGTTGTATGTTCCACTCTTTGTTCTCTTCTCACCATCTTCTCCGTTTGATCTCAAATTGACTTGATCGTCGGCTGGCGCTGATGGTAGCCAGGTGCTGAAAGGTGTTCCAATGTCTTCAGGACCAGGAGAGGATCTGGTCTCTGGCTCCCGGGAATGGCGCCGGGACTCTTGATGGTGCTCACCCAGTCGCATCCAGTCAAAGTCGTACTCCGGCGTCCATTGGGCAGATAGACCAACACCGTCGATGAAGTTTACGAAGTCACGAAAGTCCTCGAATCCTTCATCGTGATATGGTGGCGCCTGCTGGAGCTCTTGGAAAGCCGGAGGAGGATGAGTGTGCAGTTCGAGTTGCTGTGAATGGGCCTGTGGGACGAGATGCGCTTCGGCGGCCCCTGCGCCGGGCACGTTCAAGCTAGATGCGTCTATCGTCGTGGCAGTTTCAGTCGACGTTGTCGACTCTGCATCAGGGTTGCCGGCATGATGGGTGATACGCCAATGCCTAGTAAGCAGGTCACGCCGTGTAAAAGCTGCTCCGCACCGACACGAGTATGGCTTTTCTCTAGTATCTATGGTGACATCAGTTATTACGACGCCGTCATCGTGGAGTCGCTTATTTGGAGGCACGAACGTGTACGGGTATGACGGATCAAATGCTCTGCTCGCTTGAAGCTTCTTGAGCAGTGACTACAAACATGAGCGAGGCCGTGCATGTGGTGAGAATTGTTGGAGATGGAATTGGAGTGAGGTGGGTCATTGTCTTCACTTCTAGGTTTTGCCCTCGGCCAATTGTGTCTGAGGGGTAGATAGCGCCGTGCCTAGCGCGCCATCTTCGGAGTAGCCGTTCCGTTTACTCCAAGATAGCGGAACTCAACGGGAAGACCTGCCAATACATCCCCGGCAGGGCTTTATGTCGGTGGTAAATCTTTGCGGAGTATGGACATCGCTGCAGCAAGTCAAACAACCAGCGCCTATCTTGGTTGATTGATTGCGACGACGCTCGTTTCTGACCGCAACGAAGAAGAGTCAGCCCCTTTAGCAGAATGGCATCGCTTGCTAGATTACTCCCAGGTGTAGCAGTCATTACAGGCGCTGGAGGGACTGGTAAGCAGTTACGCACTGATGCGTCGTTCTTCCTGCATACTTATGGCAAACAGGCATTGGGGCGGCTGTCGCCAAAGGTTTCGCCCGATCAGGCTGTTCGCGGATCGCAATTACCGACTTGAACCCGAAAACCCTTGACCAGACCAAAGACGCCATCCTAAGCATCAACCCATCTGCTCAAGTCTTCCACAGAGCTGGAGATGTCGCTGACGAAAGTTTCGTTGACGAGTTCAACGACGAGGTATTTACCAAATTCAAAAGATTAGATTATGGTGTCAACTGCGCGGGTGTACTTGGGGGCGATGTCATCAAAGCAGTGGACATGACCACTGAGCACTTCGACCGACTGAACGCTATCAACTACAAGGGGTCGTGGCTTAGTTGTCGCGCACAGTTGAGAAACATGCTGAAACAGAAGCCTTTGGATCAGCATCCCAAGCAAAGGGGTTCAATTGTCAATATTGCGAGTCAGCTCGGCATCGTGGCAAGGCCGGGTGCTGGTAAGTCAAGTCATTCATCTTGTGACATGTTGAACCCTGGATTAACGAGAACTCTACAGCTGCGTACTGCGCCTCAAAGGCTGCTATAATCAATATGACACGTGCGAATGCCATTGATTATAGCGACGATGCTATTCGTGTGAACTGCGTTTGCCCTGGCGTCATTGAAACGCCAATGACTACCACATCGCCAGCTATGGTGGAGGCGTTGAAGCCTGCCATTGAGATAGCACCTATGAAGAGGATGGGTACACCGGACGAGGTCGCTGACGCAGTACTATTCTTGTGTTCGGAACAGTCATCCTTCATTCAAGGGCATGCGCTTGTTGTGGATGGCGGCTACACAATCAATTGATCAATACAATTTACGATGATAATGGGATATATTCCATCTAAATATCGAAAGTCTAATAAGAGTATCTTCATAGCTTCGTGGCAAGCCTTGACTCTTGGTCTTTTGGAATACCTATCTTTTTCCAGTCGTTTGCGGACTCCCATGCGAAAGCCGCGTTTAGTATTCTCTGCTCCTGCCACAAGCCACCAACTAGCTGCATCCCAACAGGTAATCTAACTTCAGGATCGACACTAGAAGGGGCAAACCCAACAGGAAGTGACATGGCCGGGTGACCTGTCACATCAAAGATAGCGGTATTGATGGTGATGCCCATACTTGGCTTCAGTGCATCCATTGGTGCGTCTTCCCCTCGCTTCCAATCTATGTTTGGCGGAGCTACAAAAGGTGTCGTTGGCATGACAATAAGATCGTAGTCTTGGAAAAGCTTTTCATAAGAGTCTCGGAGTTGTTGGGCGAGGTTCATAGTCTTCGCATAAAGGCCTGGGTAGTTTTGCATAAGAGAGAGGCCGTTGATCATGGTATTTTTCGTGGAGGGGAAGAGTTTCTGGAAAGTTTCGTTCGTCCATGGCTGTCTTGCTGCCTCGTAGGCTGTTGAGAAGAGACCTCTTCGACCGTGCGCATAGCCCAACATGTTGAGAGTACCTGCGATCCGCTGTTGGATGGTCCAAATAGCTGGTCCTTCTAAATGGAGAGGTAGCGAAATCTCTTCGACGGTAGCACCGAGGCGTTCGAAAGACTGAACGGCCTTCCTCACGGTCGACCCGACATCTTGGTTGACGAGCCGATGCTCAAAGCCTTCTTTAAGAATGCCAATCTTCAATCCTGCGACCGACTTCTGGAGACTCTTTGTGTACTGCGTAGAACCGTGTGTCGGTGCGCCAAGTGTACGATCATCGTAGTCGTCTTTTCCACTGATTGCATCAAGGCATAATGCTACGTCGCTTACTGATCTTGCTATGGGTCCGGCATGATCATTGATAGCGTCGCCGCTAGATATCCCAGTGTAAGGGACTAGGCCATGTGTTGGCTTCAATCCGACACCTATATTTCCTCAAGTCAGTCTTTGATAACCTGACACTGTTGTGCACAGTATCTATAGTACACTTACAGCCACAGAAAGATGACGGGACGCGGATACTTCCACCTTGATCGGCACCAATTGCGATGTCTACAAGACCGCCGCCGACTACAGCGGAACCGCCAGATGTACTACCACCAGCAGAGTAACCTCTTGCATATGGGTTGTGGACGGTACCTTGTGCCGAAGTAAAGGACGAAGTAGAGTTGCAGAAGTTCTCGCATATAGTCGTTCCCACGACGTTAGCACCGGCATCTAGTGCTCGTCTAACTACCGTGGCGTCGTCATCAGGTGTCCACGCAGGGATGGCATCAGTTCCAAAGAACTGTGGCACTCCAGCCACTGCGACATTATCTTTGAGACATAGCGTCTTTCCTCTCAATAGGCTTCCTTGTGGATTGCCACTTATGATAAACTTGTGGGCCCAAGCATTACCAAAATCCTGCTCATCTGCGGATGGTCGATGTATTTGCTCTCGTGGGTACCTCTCAGTATCTGTCCGTGCCGTATAGTCCGGTAATTGTAGTATGTGTTCCGCAACATCATGAACAGCAGCTAACAGCTGATGGTAGTCCTGGGATTCATTTGCTGGTATGCCGTCGTTAACCCCGATGCTTTCCAGAACGGCTTCTGCGCCGCCCACCGCCACAAGATCCTCACTTCAATGGCATCAGCATACGTTCTCATGGAAACAGGACCATTGTTGCCACTGACCTTATAGGAGAGTCGAAAAAGACAGACATGATGGTGAAAGCCGGGTACTTGACACGAAGTTGTGCGACAACTGAGAAAATACAAGCAGATGTTGAGTCTATATCTTGCTATGAAACAGTATACATATTCATGTAGAAAAGATACTTTTACGTACTATGTAGCCAATCGCGGGTAGGTGGGTCGGTGGTTCCACAAATCATGCTAACGCAACAAGCTCTCCAAATGACCCCAACTCGTGGCGAGATCAGCTATTCCGCGGGAAAACTTGGCGCCCATAATCTCCGCCCGCATGGAATCTTACTCTTTGATATTGACGACCAGTCGGCCTTTCATCGATGCATGCAGATACCTGTCGACGAGGCTGGGGATTTCCGAGAAGCCTAAAACGGTCAAATGCGAAGAAATTCCGTGCTTGGCCACCACTTTCAGCATCGACTCGACTTCCTCAGCACTAGCAACATAGCTGCCCTTGATAGTAAGCTCATGAAACACCATGGCTTCCGAGTCGAACTGCCACTTGTCTTTTGGTAGTCCCAGCGGGACCATAACACCACCATTGCCCAGTTGTTGGAGGCACCAGGCGTTCGCTTGTATCGAATCGGTACACACTACGATGCCTGCGAGGCCTTCACCGGAAGTAAAGTCTGATATCTTCTGTTCGGCATCTTCGGTGGTTGAGTCCATAACCAGATCGGGTCTCAAATGGTCAGGCAAGTCGAGCGCAAGCTGGCGACCTTCGTGACGGTTATCCATTGCTATCGTCCTGTATCCAAGTGCTTTGGAAAACTGTACTCCAAGCTGTCCAAGACCTCCAATGCCTACCACAGCTACAGCATCGCCCGGTTGGACCTGGGGGCTAAGTTTTCGCAATGCGCCCCATACTGTCGCCTTTGATGATGTTAGCAATGGCATTGCTTGCGATTTAGATACCAGACCAACTTACTCCAGCACACATCAAAGGTGCTCCCTGTTCGAAGGAAACTCCGCTAGGGAGATGTACGGTGGTTTCCGGGTCGGCCAGCATGTATTCGGCGAATGCACCATCGTGTCTGAAGCCAGCCACAATTCGTCTTTGACAGAAGCGCGGATCAGGACGTTTGGATCTCCGTGAGTGCTGGCGACATCCTGCGCATTGCCCACACGCATTCTTGTAGTTCAAAACACCCACGCGATCTCCGACCTTCCAGGAACCTTTTACGTTCGCGCCAACTTGTACGATTTTGCCAGCAGGCTCATGCGAAGGAATCATTGGTAGTTCTGCCGGGAATTGCCCATTCCATACTTGCAGGTCAGAGTGACAAAAGCCAGCTGCGTACACCTCGATGAGGAGGTCGTGGTAGCCGCACTGAGGTACAGCTCGCTCACATAGCTGATATGGTTTCTCATACTAGATGCCTCTGTTAGATGGGCTTCCGAGAGTTCGTGTGACGTCATCCTACCTCTACGATCTGTGCTGCACGCATCTTGTCATACATATTCAGAATGAACCATGAACGTACTCAAATGACTGTGCTGCATCACTGCGTTCAATACCGTGGTCGTCGTCATCATCATAGCTTCATGCGATTGCTTGTCCCCACGTGTAGAACCGAATTCGGATGAGTTGGAGAGGAGAGTTGGAGTCGTTGGGGTCGACGATAAGACGGGACTGATAAGCGAGCGCGCCGTTATGGAGGCAGGGGGGGGCCAGCTGCCACGTCCAATGACGAAATGCACAAGCCGCCGCCGGCTCCAGCACCATTCTATCTGCTAATTACCCCGCGATGGTTTTCAGGGTCGGCATCATGGCATTAAGAGGAAGTAATGCCGGATCAACCGTGTGGTCTCGTTTCTCCCACACAGATCCGGCTGACAGCTTCTGCCATTGACCTCGTGAACAGATTCAACACCTTACTCGACAGACCATCATCATCTTTCCTCACAACACAGCTATCATGGGAAAGAAGCGCGTTCTCATTTCATATGGTGTCGACGTAGATGCGGTATGTGGGTGGCTTGGATCGTATGGCGGAGAAGACAGTACCAGCGACATTTCGCGCGGTCTGTTCGCTGGCACAGTTGGTACGCAGCGCCTCTTGAAGCTGTTCAAGAAGTACGACATGAAGACCACATGGTTTATTCCAGGCCATAGTCTGGAGACTTTCCCAGAAGATATGGCTGCAGTACGTGACGCTGGGCACGAGATTGGTCTTCACGGTTACAGTCACGAAAACCCCGTCGATATGAGCATGGAACAACAACGGGACGTGCTTGACAAGACATATCGCATGTTGACCGAGTTCGCTGGCAAACCTCCAAGGGGAAGCGTTGCGCCCTGGTAGGTCGATGGATTGATTGCTTCCATCCGCCATGCTAACTTTCTTCCTAGGTGGGAGACGAGTCGCGAAGGTGCAGAACTGCTTCTCTCTTATGGTATCGAATACGACCACAGCATGAGCCATCACGACTGCCAACCTTACTATCTCAGAACTGGAGACTCTTGGACCAAGATTGACTACGAGAAGAAAGCCAAAGATTGGATGAAGCCACTCGTTGCAGGCCAACAGACTGGCTTGGTAGAGATTCCAGCAAACTGGTATCTTGATGTATGTACGATCGGCAGTACAACGTAAACCACACGCTAATAGACGACACTAGGATCTGCCACCTCACATGTTTATCAAATCCTCGCCAAACAGCCATGGCTTTGTCAATGCGCGAGACACTGAAGACTTGTGGAGAGATCACTTCGACTACTTCTACCGCGAATACGATGAGTTCATCTTCGTAAGTCTCAACTAAGGTATACCTATGGTATATTGACTGATCTAATGCGACCCTCTAGCCTATCACAATCCACCCTGACGTATCAGGACGACCACATCTACTCTTGATGCACGAAAGGTTGATCGAGCACTTCAAGAAGCATGAAGGTGTTGAGTTCGTGACTATGGAACAGATGGCGGATGAGTTCAAAAAGAAGAACCCACCACCCGAGGGAGCACTCATGCCAGCCGAAGCAGGTCTCAAACTGAAAGAGTAGTTAGATATTCGAATTCATGTCATTACTAGTTATCTGATGTTCCTCCCTCAATAACTGTTGCATAAAGATAGTATTTTACTACACCGCAGCCGTACGTCAAAGATTGATTAGTAGTCGTCAAAAGAGAGCCATGCCACTTATCGGCCATTTCTGTAAGATAGGTAGATCACGGCAATGCACAGCCTAGCTCCGCACGAACTACGTTCTAGAAAGCTAAAATCTCCCGGGAACCGCAATCGCTGATGCAGATGGAAGACTAGTCACCTGCAGGGTGAACACTAAGGATACCGAACCCAACGAACATACTAATCGTACCTCCAAATACCAGCCAAGACGAATACAAGACCTCCAAACCACTCAGTTCACAATCTCCGCAATCAGTCGGAGTTGCGATGATCCTCGGTGGCAGGTACCAAGAGGCTGGGGTATCATTGGAGACACCCCTGCGCCTGAGTCGCGTAGGTGTTGGAGTCGCCTGCACCGCTCTATCGCCACTATCAACCTCCAAAACAATGGGGCTGTGGATCCTGCCAGCCCACAATGCCCCGGATTCCAAGATACCGCGTGCTGATACCACGCGGGTTATCGACTATCAGTGCACCGTGCAAGGACAAGGTCGTTGCATGGCATACATGCACGCTTGGATATATATACCGTGGCCAAAGTACCGACAGATCAGAGTTCATCGCTTGAGCTTAACAGCAGAGTCTGGCATCATTATCTGCCACCGCCAACATGTCGACCGAGAAGCAAGACGACATCATCGCACCAGCACCGAGCACTAGCTCCGAAAGCATCAACGGCAAGGTCGACATCGAGAGCGATGGCGAGATCTTCAAGAGAGGAGAGGGGTACGAGGATTTCCGAACGGTGCACTGGATTCATACATCAGTCATCTTCCTGAAACGTAAGTAATGTGATCCAATCAACTACATCATAATTGTTCCATACTGACTATCATCGTGTTATAGTCATCTTTGCAACAGGTGTTCTCACCATCCCTAGCGCCATGTACACTCTCGGCGCGTTCCCCGGTGCCATCAACGTGCTTGGATGGCAAGGGCTAAACACCTGGTGCGCATTGGTGCAGGGCCAGTTCCGTAACAACCACCCAGGCTGTCACTCGATTGCCGACATGGGTCAGTTGGTTGGTGGCCGCGTCGTCAAGGAGATCAGCGGTATCCTCTTCCTCGTGGCGTTCATCATTGTCGGCGCCTCCGGTATGGTCGGTGTGTCAACAGCCTTGAACGCATTGAGCGAACACTCGCTCTGCACAAACTACTTCTCCATCATCGCAGCAATCATGATTGGTCTCTGTGCGAGTGTGCGGAAATTTGAGAAGCTGTCTTGGATCACTTGGGCGGGTTTCTCATCCGTTTTCATCGCTGTTTTCATCGTTGTGTAAGCAACCTCTTCATTTATAGTAGATGACCACGTGGACTAATATGTATACAGCGTCGGAGTAACAACACTCGACCGACCGGCCGCAGCTCCTCAATCTGGACCCTACGACTTCGGCTACCACGTCATCGGCCACCCAACCTTCGCCGCTGGCATTACAGCTGCCTCGACTATCTTCTGCTCCGGTGCAGGTACATCAGCGTTCCTGCCCGTCATGTCCGAGATGCGCAACCCACGCGAGTACGCCAAAGCCGTAAACTGGTGCATGGGTCTCGTCACAGCCGCGTACCTCTCCTTCAGTCTCGTCGTGTACAAGTGGTGCGGCAAATGGGTCGCATCGCCCTCCCTTGGTAGCGCCGGACCCATGGTCAAGAAGGTCGCTTATGGAGTCGGACTGATCGGACTCTGTGTCAGTGGAGCGCTATACGTACACGTCAGCGCGAAATACGTCTTCGTTCGTATCCTGAGGAACTCGAAACATCTACAGGCCAACACGCCAGTACACTGGGGTACTTGGCTTGGCTGCGTTACCTTCATGACGGTCATCAGTTTCGTGATCGCATCTGGTGTGCCTATTTTCAACTACTTGCTCAGTCTGGCGGGAAGCATTGCATTTGCTCCTTTGGCGCTGGGACTGCCTGGTTGGCTCTGGATATACGATCACCAGGATTACTGGAAAGGCAACTGGTGGCAGAAGATTATGTACGTGCTCCACGTCATCTTGATTGGCATCTCAATCTTCTTGACGATCGGCGGCACTTACGGCGTTATTGTACAGATCAAGGACGCGTACCGAGATGGGTTGATCGATTCGGCTTTCTCTTGTGCTGACAACAGCAACTCTTCTTAGTCACCTCTTTAGTTTTGTGTAAATGTTTGTAGTTTGAACGCAGTATGAGAGATACCCTCGGTCAGTAACGTAATTTAAAATGCAGATCACTAGCGAACACTTTTGCATCTACTCCTATCTATTCATCCACCATGGCAGGCTCCTATAAGCGTGATAGGCCGCAATGACCACCAAGCAATTCGTGCTCATACGACTGGCTTCTCCTTTGGTATCAGACCAACCATCTCGAGCATCAGAGCTGTAGAGTTGATCAAACCGTAGAAGATCATCGGTATCACCTGTGATAATGTCAGTACATATGATATCTGACTGTAATTCTGGTTCAGAACTTACACCGAAGAACAGGTTCCCTAGAATACCTCTGCGGAGGATTGTCTCTGCCAACTCAGTCTTTGTGATTTCAGGAGCGACGTCGCTCTTGAAGGGGCCAACAAGCCTGTAGAAGGTCACAAAGCTCGCTCCAAAGCAGTAGACCAGGAGCACCTTCAGGCCATGGGCCATATACAACTCGCGCAACCCAGGGGCGCCACCAAAGTCTTTCGCAAGCGTACTCATGTACGCGCTATGATCGACACCGTATTTAATGCGCGAGCTTTCTTTAGACAGGAGATGGTAGTGTGGAGGGTCGGTAGGCATGGCCATTTGCTTGGTGATGAGCGCTGTCCACCACATGGCTTGTTGCTCGGCAATGGGTGGAATGGCGCCGACACCTGGCCGTACAAAGCCGATGAAGGATATACTGGTGTCTATAGGCGAGACGATGTTGCGTATGGTAGCGTCGGATGCAGTGGGGTATGATTCATCGAGGAAGTAGAACGACTGCTTGTAGCCAGTGCAGTAGACTACGCAGTTAGGTCGCACCTCCGTGTTCTTCATGCGCCTCCAGTCTTTTCGGTCTGGTCGCTCTTCGAATATTACCCTGCCTGTCTCGTCTATTCGCTGGGGGAATGTGCAAGTGTCGACCCATTTCTTTGACTGCGCATCTTCGGGCGGATCTACGTAGCCATTACCAAGGAAAGCAAGAGGGTGCTTCTCTTGGTATGGCCGGTTCAAGTATGGCATCGCTTTGCTACTCTTGTTTAGGAATACGAAAGCTCTGCCTAGACGATCGTGTGGCAGTGCGCCAACGTGCTGACTACATCGGGTTAGCATGTGCTCGGTCGCCATGGTCGGAGAAGAGCTCACTTCATGCCTGCTTGAGTACCAGTCAAGAACCACAATACGCGCTTTATGACGAAGTCCGACACGAACCAACGGAAGCGACTCGCAGCTATTGCACGATGCACGTAGGCTGTCTCGAAGAGGTTGGTAATGAGGCCATCAATTGGCAGACCTCCTTTGAACTGCTTGCCGAAAACTTTGAATCGCGAGAGAGCCTTGGGAAAAGACAGAAAGCCTGTTCTGAAGCACATGGTGACAGAATTTGCATCGCCCTTCATGGCCTCATAAGCGACATCTGGGTATGTTAGCCTATACTTATCGCTATGTGTCTGGCATGTAACATACCCATAGCAGTCTCTCCGCAACCCATGATGAGCACATCTTTGCCCGCAAGCTGCGCCCGCTTCTTGTATTCAGAAGAGTGAAACGCTTCGCCTTTGACGTTCTCGATACCAGGGATAGCGGGAATGTTGGGCTCAACATGCAGTCCAGTGCAGACAGCGACGTGGGAGCAGTCGAAAGTGCGCTCCTTCCCATCACTGTTCTTGTCAACATACCTGACACGGTGCTTCCATTTCTGGTCGACTGATTTAGCTATGGGTTCGATTTCGTTAACTCTACAGCCCATCTTCATGAGCGGTTGTAGATCGAACTTGTCCACATAGCCCTGCAAGTAGGCAACATATTGCGGAAGCGAGATGTGGTCAGGTGCTGAAAGTGGAAAGCGGTGATCGGAAAAAGTCGTTAGTTGCTTGGATGATACCAGCTCAGCGTTCTCGTAGGCGCGGTAGTGGAAGGTGCCTCCAATGTTGTCTTCGCTGGGGAGGATGTCAGTCCACGTGATAGTTGATCCAATTCAGACCAGGCAGAGTATGCTTACGCTTCGAACAAGACAGCCTCTATCGGCCGCTCAGGTGTCGATGCCTCGAGCAACGTCTTTAGGGTTGTCAATCCACCGGGACTTTGGCTTCATTAGCATGTGATATTCAGGGTCGGAATGGCGGGCGTACCCAGCCCCAATGACGGCGACTCGCATGGCGGGGGGGTTGTCGGTCCCTGACATCTTCACATTCGGCGGGCTCTTAGGATATCTTTGACGGTGACACAGAGGGTTGTGTTACAGAGCGTGGAGGTGCACTTGTCGCGTGGCTAACGCTGCAAGGGACGCGGTGGTCACGCTTGGGTGGCCAATCATCACGTCCCAATTCTACCATGACATCAAGACAGGATGCGCGACCCTACGGCGTGCATTTGTGCCTCAATGCACTTTGTTCTATTCGAGCTTAGCCGCCGCGGCCATGGGGTTGCCCGGTGTCGATTAACGTCCGTAACGATCTGAGACTGCAGCGCTGCAGCCGAGGCCAAACGTCGATTTCACGTCATGTTTTGCTAGACAACAACACGACAGCTCTCCACAGCTGACGCCTACCATCGTTCCAACATGGAGCACCCGCGCGAGAGAGTCGCAATAATAGGGTCGGGCCTTGCTGGGCTTGTTAGCGCGAACCTATTGTTCCACGACGTCCGCCAAAGATATGCCGTCAGGGTCTTCGAGTCGGTAGGGACGCCTGACGCCCACGCCCATGCCCACTCTCTCTGGGGCCTCCACTGACAAAAGTAATTCTAGGGAAAAACCCTCTCCCTCGACGCCGCCTCCATCTCCCTCCCCGATGCTGCCGCCAAGGATGCTTCGACCCGCGTGGATCTGCCCATGCGCGCCTTTGCAGGCGGCTACTACAACAACCTCAAGGCCCTGTACGACTACCTGCGCATATCCTACCACTCGCAGCCGTTCCTCTTCGAATTCGCAGTGAGCCAAGATGCCAAATCCGAGGCCATTGCACCTGGTCGCCGTGACAGGTCGTACTTCACACACGCATCCAACCTTCACCAGCTTGCGCCCCGGTCCAGCGGGGTCGGCATTGTCGTGTACCTGATGCAATGCCTATACCTAGCCTTCTCGTATACGTGGTTTACCTTTTGCTGTGTCTTTATCGGGCCGAGACAATCCGAGACGCTGCAGCAGTACCTGGACCGCACATATTGCCCGCGCTACTTCACCACCTACTACTTGCTCCCACTCTTATCGAGCGTGTCTACCTGTCCTCACGATTCGCTGCTCGCTTTTCCCGCCAGCGACATCATCGGATACAAGCGGAGGACTCATGGCGCGCCGCACTATACCGTATCAGACGGCGTGGGAGGGGTACAGGAACGCCTAGTAAAAGGTATCGACGTTACCCTCAATGCCACCGTCACGGCAGTGGAGCCTTTCGAAAAGGGGGTTCGGATATCGTGGTGCGGTGCATCGGACACGGAGACGACAACCGAGTACTTCGACAAAGTGATTTTGGCTGTTGCTCCAGACGTCGTGGGCCGTATCTTCAGACCCCTCCAACACCATATGCAGCGCATACCAACCGCCGTTGTGGAGAGCGTCGTCCATACAGACTGGGCAGTGCTGCACGGGAGCGACCTCAACAAGAACGACAGGAAAGGCGCCCAGCTCATCCATCTCAACACATCCACCACCGATACGCCTGTGACTGAGTCGCATCATCTCCAGCCCTGCGGTGTCGTCGTGACAACCTGCCCTTTCACACCTCTCGAGCAGCAACATGTAACTCAACGGAGCAAGTTCACGCGCGTTCTCCGCAGCCCAGAAAGCCAGCGCATCGTCAATGCCATCTTCGACGTCGGTTCGAATTTCAGTGCGGATGACAAATCAGTGCCGCGTTGGAGGAACGGCGAGGATAACGTATGGCTGGTGGGCGGCTGGTGTTGGGATGGCATGGTCCTCCTAGAGGGCTGTGTTATATCAGCCATGCGGGTTGCCGATGCGCTCGATGTCAAGGTGCCGTGGAGGCATCAGTAAACAATAAAAAGGCTTGAGTCTCTAGCTTGTACCTTACTGTCAAAGAGCACTCAGGTTGAGCCCGGTGCTCCTGCTGGATACAACAAGCTTTTTCGTAGCACGGTAGATGGTCCGATAGAGTAGATACCCAGGCATGTTGACATGTCCACTTCCATTACAGAACAAATCCATAGACTTGAAAATGAGTTCAAAGCTTTCCGACATTAAAGTGCGCAATGTGCAGTCTTCTTAACTTGCTGACACATTGTCAGCTGTATGTGCACCTCGTCATACATGTTCGCTTGAACCGGTTAGCGTCACTGCCCGTTGAAGCTTCCCGAGATCTCACCCGCTTGTCAAGTCTTTATCCACCCAATCACCTCAACACGCCAAACAGCAATGTGGGATAGACTATTCTTTGGCTACACTATCTTCACCGGTTTCGCGCTATCCGGCGTCATACAAGCCTACATCCGCAGCTTGGGTTCGCACGAAAGTACTTCGTCTGGCAAACTGGGTATGGACGACCAAAGATCCATGCAGATATTTGGAGTATGGCTGGCCGCTGCATTCTACTGGATAATGAAACGTACACAGAGGAAAGAAAAAGAAAAAGCTTCGATCTATGGTTTGCAACATGGGCGGCTGCATCTGCAAGTTCCAACCGCCATGTGGATGAATATGGGCTATTGGAAAAGCCCTCCTGCTTCCAAGACATTGAGCGAAGCATGTCGCGATCTTTTGAAAGTTGTACTTGCCGAGGCAGGATTGTCCAACGACGAAGGACAAACGCAACGAAGAAGATTCCTGCTCGACCTAGGCTTCGGATGCGGAGATCAGACCATCTATCTCATGAGCAAAGAACCTATACGAGCGTGCGATAAAGACTGGTGGGACGAACGAGAGCGATGTGCTACGTTTGACCATTATATTGGGATCACAAAAGACGAATCGCAGGCGCGATTTGCGTCGGAGCGAGTTGAAGAATTCAAGCATAACAAAGGCTCCACGATATCGCTCTTCTGCGCCGATGCGTCAAAACCCACATCATGGAATGAAGGATTAAAAAACTCAATACGACTAGCAAGAGCGAGTTCAGATGAGCGGTGGGTGTTAGCATTGGACACAGCGTACCATTTCTCGCCATCACGTTGGCCTATCATCGAACACGCTTACTCGGAACTCGAAGCCAACTACATGGGCTTCGATCTGTGCCTTTCTCCAACCGCAACATGGACCCAGAAGACTATGCTTCGTCTTCTCACTGCACTCATGGGCGCTCCTTGGGCAAACTTTAGCACACCGCAGGAGTACCGCTCGAAGCTCGAGCACGTGGGATACAAGTCTGAGGCCATAACTATCATGGATATATCGGAGCATGTCTTCGCGCCACTAGCACTATTTCTCACAGAGCAAGACAGTAGACTCAAAATGGTAGGCCTCGGCATAGGACGCTTCGGTGTTGCGAAGACCATGTTTAGCTGGTGGGGAAGGACCGGAGTCATGCGTGGCGTTATTGTGGTTGCGAAGAAATGAATCGCGTGCCGAAAACACCACACTCTAACCTCGCCTGGCCTGACGACCGATGGGATGCCTCGTAATTTGCTCTGTAAGGCTGAACATGCAGAAACAGCAAATACGCCCCGAGACTCGCAAGCGGCTGACCTGGAGATTGTACCTAGGTACGCCTAACTACAACGTGCTAAGTAAGGCCACAATCTGGTGCAGACAAGTCTAAGAAAATTCCTTTTCACATGTCGTCGATATTTTCTGTGTACTGACACCAAGTTTGGTGTTTAGAGTATGCCTCCCAAACCCCGGTGCGACGACTGAAGATCAGGTCCTCCCGTGCCGCTACCCGGTACGGCCCCCAGCATCAATACCAAATTTGTATCGATACGAGAGCCAAGGCTTGGCACTCACGACAAACGTTGCTGTGCCACAGGCATTTCTGTAGTCTAATAAACCTGTCGCATCACCTGTACAGCCCAGAATGTAAGAATCGTCGGATTCTTCATTATCGAACCTACCTCAGCAAACATGGAAGAAAGAGAACTGCACGAAATGCAAAGAGTGAGGCAAGAGACAGCCCACGTGAACACGGTCGCTCCAAAGGTCCCAGAAGCCACTCATGAGCCGACATTTTTGTCAAGAGCGTCCTCCAGGACTGTTCGCGAACCAGTGGTCAGACATCTACACACATCGCTGTGGCCGCTGGTAGTCTTCATATTCTACGCCGCGCTCTCCGCTTTCACATGGGCCGTTTTTTGCATTGCGAGCAAGCGGCCGATTGGAAGCAAGCAGGATTATGGGAACCAAGATGGCTACAGAAAGGAGCTGGATGCTATCTTGACTAAACACGAGAACGCCATCAGGGCAGCGCAGATCATACAGGTAGTCGTCGCACTAATCACTATTCCCATCACATCGGCAATTTGTTCAATGGCTCTGGCTTCTTTCATCCAAACGGGCGGCGCAAGAACGAAATTGAACCTTCGCCAGACCATGGCGCTCGCAGACCAAGGCTGGATCAGTCCACGCATATGGACTATGTATTCCAAAGTAGGAAGTCTACCATTATACATCGCCTTTGGGTTGACGTTGGTCGGTATGTGTTGCGTGGATATCAGTAGGAAGCCTATGCTGACCTAAACTTAGGTGTGATCTTCCAGATCCTTCAAGGAATCTTTGTTCGGATCACCCCCGCACAGATGCCGTCTGAGGAAACCAGATATAATAACCACTATGTCCCTGATCTGCCTGCTTTAATCAGCAGTAGTGATAGATACCCCACGCCTAGGGTCATTCAACTCCGTAGCATCCTGGAATCGATTACGGAGAACCATTATGAACCCTTCCTCTGGGTCAAGCCGGAGGGTGATGGCATGTGTCGAAATCCAACTCAGTGCCGTTATCACGATTATCGGAGAGATTTCCAGATCATCGCCGATTCCGATTATCCAGACCTTTGGTTCACACCCTTACCATCGGACTACAACACCGGTGTCTACAAGGAGCTTCAGTATGTGCCGCGCATCAACACAACGGTTACATATACGAACATGACTGCTGCCGAATGGCCAAGCGAGTGTGTTCGTGACAAAGAAGGTGTATTCTTTGCAGAGTATCACTCACATCGTCCTGGGGCCTACGATGTCGATCTAACGGCTTGCATGCCTACCAATATTAGCGACACACCCTGGCAAGCTACACACAATCGGCAGGATATCACAGAAGAGCTCTATCTTAATGTAACAGCACGATACGAAGAAAGCCCCCTCTACTACAAAATAACTGCCCAAACGTCATTAGGTTACTTCGAGCTTCCGTCTGCCAAGAATGGGAATCGCGCCGGGCCCTTGCTCGACAATTGTTCACTGCCACGCATCGACGACTGGGGCTCGAGAGACAGTAGTTGGGACAAAGGCCTGGCAGTTCGGGATACCAACGGCAGCTATGCTGGAAACGTCACACAGAGGATAGGAAACCATATCGGTCCTCTGACTACGCTTGGACTAGCCCTCTTTGGTGAAGGCTCTTACATCGAGAAACGCGTTTCGAACCCATCCGCTTTCGTAATCAATCGAACCAAGGTGTACGATGCCGAATACGATGCATGGTATACGCCCTGGAGCTCAAATTGCGACTCATCTATGCCTCTTTCCTTTGCTTTTACAAGCACGAGGGAATGTGATCAAGACTCTGACCACAGGGATGAAGACTACATTATCGGAGAAGTGAATAGTTTTGTAAACTGGTTTTCGCAAGAGACCACTGCAAGAGAAGCGTTCACTGTGGGCGCTTACCTCGCTAACAAGGACTGGCTGGATCAAGCCAGAGGGTACACTCTGTCTTACGATGCAAGGCGGGCAGTGGTTGCTGACCAAGGCATCACAATCAGCAAGAACAAGATAACGATTGTGGAAATCATCATTGGCTCCATCTTTCTCGGTCTTCATCTCCTCGGGCTACTAGTGCTCGCCATCTATGCCGTTTACGGAAAGCCGTTTGTGCCATGGCTGGGTGGGGAGGTAATGGTCAAGGCCGGGACGGTCCATGCAGATATCTTGAGCGCCGCGGAGGGACATAGACAGTGGAAGCAGACCATGGCTGCTTGCCCGGGATTCGTTGGGGATGAAAGACCAACGGATAGTGTAGGCAGAATCGCATTCGGAGCCGTTGCAGGCTTGAGTCGATTAAGCGACCGGAAGTTTGAGACTCTGTAGACCCTGTATATAGTGGTTATCAATCTTTGTTATCTTTGCTGATGTCGAAATTTGCCTGTGTTGATGTAATGATGAGCAGCATAGAACTGTTGTCTAACTTATAGTGAATACATCCGTCTTCTCACGGGGCAGCTAGTGAGCATAAACCTCCGGGGTAGAATGCCGCAGTGGATCTTGGACCCTTGGTTGATGTTTTGATGGACCCTGGAGTGATTATCTAGCATCTGATATGCTCGCTTATCTCCATAAAGCTCCGTTGAGGCACAGTATCGTGATACTCTTGGTAGGTACCGCGGACTTCTGCTTACAATAACGTAAAGGATATAGGATGCATGGACCTGCTCGTGTCGACTCACAGTATGGTTCAGATGCCGCGCCCGAGATCATCGCCTGTGCTTTCCTCGCTCGTTCGCAATAAAAGCTGTCCTCTCTGTCCCTTCTCTTCTCTTTTCTTTCATCAGCAAAAGTCATAACTCCAAAAGCCTAGGATTCGAAGATCATCTCAGTATACCATCCCAGCTATCTTCAGACAACACTACAACCACTACCACTACGTCTACCCAAGACATCTTACCATATCATCATCAACATCATCAACATGCCTTCGACCAAACCCGTCTACGCCGACAAGGCTACCTTCGAGAAGTCCGGCTTGGCTCCCTACCTCACAACCTCCACCAAAGCAGATTGCTGCAGCATCTGCCTGAAAGACCTCGCTTGCGAGGCATCAGAGACTGCCCATAAGCCTCTGACCAAAGCTGAACGAAGACTGCTCGACGACGAAGTCGACACATATCAAGACATCTCCGACATCCACCGCCATCAATACCCTCATCGCCACCACAATGAAGAGGAACAAATCGGAGCAAGGCTAAATGCCTGCGGTCACGTTTTCGGCAAGACATGCATCGACACATGGCTAAAGGACAGCAACTCCTGCCCAATGTGCAGGATCGAACTCTTCCCCAAAAGCGTACGCCAACGTTGCCAGCCAGACTTCTCTGATGGCAGAGTAGTAGGATGGTTTTAGGGTTGGGATTTTGGGATTGTGCGAGAACCTCCTCGCTACGCTTTGGCGTTTGTGTACACTGGTTGACGAGTCTATGAGGACCTCCTGGGTGGATTATTGGGTTTATGGTTCTCTCTTTTAACGGTAACGAGGGTCTCTACGCATGATTTTCACGTAACGTGGTATAGGTGGTTTGGAATTCATCACTTCGCATTCGCTCGCTTGCTCCCCTGAGTGCTCTGTTCCAAGGTTCGCTGTGATTGTACCAGATAAGCAATGCACGTGATGTCCGTCACTCACTCCTACTCCGCACTGCGCTGTTGTGATGGGCGTCTGCATTGCCCGATGTTTATCCTATGCCGATATTCGATATCAAGAGTGACGTCAATAGGAAAGTTTAGGCCGAAACAATAAGGCAGCAAATGGCCGGGAGAAATCCTAGATATGGTTTTATATGGCCTGATTCCAGAACGTCATTTTGGAAACTCTCCCGTCGCACGCGTGTGCATACGGTATAACGTCGGAGATTTATTCGGTGCACGATCGGGCCGCCACAAAATCAAAGGAAAACGTCCTCGAGGCTTTTCTCTGGCGTTGGGCGAGACCGTGGCACTGTTGAGGTTTGAGAACTAATTAACTTGCTCGGATGAACGCTGTTCCTTTGGGCTGCGGGAGTGCACGATCTGGGAAGTAAACTTACAAACTTGTCGCTAGGTGAAGTCCGTGTTCTGGGTCACGATAGAAGCGCCACCTCGCTTGCACAGAATCCTAATCCTGGCGGCCACGCGACGAAGAACGGCCGACTCGGCGGCGGCTTGTTTCAGTTCGCGGTATTCAGCCTGGGGCTGCGTGATCGATAGGGGATGCAAACCATCGCCCCCGGGGGTGTTCAGCTTCCACGCTTCGGCAACCCCGCATGTGATGATGCAGACATATGCGCGGATCGCCCATAGCGTCCTCTTACTTCTGATCAACCGATCGCCTCGACGACAGTGAAACTACTATGGGAAACCTACCAGAACATCGCAGAGACATACCAGCTTCCTATATTACTTTTTGCTTGTCATAGTACATTTTAGCCGTATCGGTTTCCGGACGAGCATGCCCCCCATGGAAGGGTGCGTGTTGGTGTGCTGCCCTAAGGCGACTCGATTGGATCAGAAGTAAATGGTTAGCAAGGATTAGTGCAGGTCGGCCGTGTTCCGCGTCGGACCGCCTGATGTGCAACAAATCAGCGACGTGGAGCACGGCCCCCGCTACGCTCCCTAACTAACTCTTGACTCCCGAAAAGCCGTAAGCAGACATGTCGCATGGGCCGCACGGCTGAGGCACCCTAGGTATCCCGCGAGATAGGCGTTGACGACGGTGGACTCAACGAGCATAGTGCATGACAGCTCCGTGCTCTGGACCGGGCAACTGGGAGGATCGCCTCTTTGGCTTTATCTACATACGTTCGCTCCGCTCGGGGCTTTTCTAATCCTGGTTCCAGCATCGCCCCTCTCTCGACGACTTTGACGACTTTGACGTGCGCCCGGTATGCGGTGAAGTGAAGAAGAGGTGGATAATATTGACCATGGCGGGGAAGAACTCAGATCGTTTCGATATCGTGAATGGCAAGCAACTTGCGTTGCTGATCGCGCCTACCATATGCTTTGTGGTTGCGGCGGCGGTGGTAGCAGCGAGATGGTACACAAGGAGTGTTCGAAGGGTCAATACCTTGGGCGAAGATGCGTTGATGCTGGCTGCTCTGGTAGGACTGCAGGACCTCGGTTGCGGATCGATGCTGACATCTCGCAGGCTATGAGCTTCGTCGTAGTTGCTTTAGTCTACGTGCTAGTATTCCTGGGTGGAGAAGGCTTGACGAGCGATCAGATCAAGGCGGATCCGACTAAGAACTTTGACGTTGTGGAGCGATTCTGGCTGCGGGTATGTTTGGCCTGACGTCCATCAGAGTTTTGCTAACAGGCATTGAAGATGCAGTTCGCACTTGACATCTGCTGGGCTACATCGATTGCAACCGTGCAGTTGGGCTTCGCGAAATCCTACCTCCGGCTATACGAGAAGAGAGTGTTTGCCCGCATAGCCTGTTATGTGTCTATAGCGCTCATCGCGATCTGGTATATTTGGTCGCTCGCGGGTTGGATCAGCATGTGCCATCCCCCTGGAGAGTGTAAGCTGCAGAGCAAGAAGTCGTGCATCATCATCGGCTCGTTGCACGTCTTCTTCAACAGTGTCATCCTCTTTGCTCCATTGCCTGTCGTAGCAGCAGCAGACCTGTCGGGGAAGAAGAAGCTGTGGGTGATGGTTTTATTTCTCCTCGGATGCTTGTAAGTGAAACCTACTGTTCGATCCGAGCAGCCCTTACTGACACCGCGCAGTTGCACAATTCTGGCTGTCCTTCGCATCGACTGTGCGATTGATGTTTTCGGCAACGTTGACGAAGACCCGATTGGCGCATCATGGTGGCGCGTCTGTTTCTCCCCAATTGAAGTCGCTGTCGGTATTGTCTGCTGCTGCGTACCTAATGTCAGGTCACTACCAACGTGGCGCCGAACTCCCCCACTCGCCACCGACGAGAGTATTGGTCTACGGCGGATGAAATTCCGGACAGCAAGCAACGGCTCGTCAACATCAAACCTCAACGCACCACCTTCGCAATGGATGCCGCAGAGCGCAAAACCACAGGCGGCTACTTTCGTCACGTTGAGCAGCGAATCGGATCCTGCCGAGAGGTTGAGTTCATTGGGAGCGAATGAGATTAAAGTAACAAAGGAGTACAATCTCGATCGATTATAATTGTGTAATTAGGGCAAAGAATCGACTCAGCTGTAACCCAGAGCGGTACCGAGGTTCGCGACGTTGATGCACGAAGCAGGCGCGTAGCACATGAGCCCTCAGATAACGAAAGACGCCACTGCAAGGCTTGGGATAGAAGAGTGTCACGGTGGAGGTACGCCGTCGGTTGTTATGGACGTCCAAGCAGAGTTACGCTCGAGCGGGAAGACGTGCTTGTGACGTCACTGTCACCCTCGGAATGTGATCCTTCGCTCACCTGAGCACACACCTTCAGCCGCAGATACCAGCCTCATACGCATTCCCGACACGCACACCATGACCCCTAAACCAAACCACCGCCTCGGTACACTGCTGCGCTATACCTATCAAGTAAATATGGTTTTCTTTGCCGGGTTCGCGACGTGGTATCTGTTGAAAGGTTTGGATCAGAAAGAGTTATCAGAATATGCGAGTACTATGAAGAAACGTGACCGTTCGCTCACAAAGCAGTGAGCATTCCGGGGGAATTGACACGAAGGCTATCGATGCCGCATGGCAAGACAGTGTGGATTGTGACGAGAGCGACATGTATAATGAAGCTAGAGCTTCGGCAGGCTTGCGAGAGCTCGAGGGGCACACGAAGAGTTGGACTGCGCAGGCCGTATTAGAAAGGAGTTCGCAAGAACAGGCGATTTGCAGGTGTCATGGTGAGCACACGCATTATGGGACAGCTAGCAACTATTAGCGTAGCTGATACGAGCGTAGAGAAACATACGCACATGTACGATATAGATAGATATGAAATAAGCAAGTCACGTTGCTACGCTATCAGAGCTACCTGGTCTGATTTGTGTTTCTTCAAGTTAACATGACAGCCACGTACAGCTGCTAGACTATGCGACAACCCATGTGTCAAGTTATCCAACTCTTAGCATGACCAATATCACCGGTAGCGGACCAGTGCCCCTTACAAGAATCATGGCCGTTGTAAAACACATGAATGAGCACACGAGAACGGACGCATTTTTGCGCATGTCACTCATCGCAATCAAAGCGCAGTCTTTGAGGGCGTTGTCTAGGTGTGCCTTCTCAACGTTGGAAAATGAGGGCATTTGCGCGACTTTGCTTGGCGCTTCTTCTTACTGAAAAGCGGGCTTATGCAGAGGGCATGCAACTAACCCACCACTATGATAGTGGACCCCTCCACATTACCGTGAGTCTGCCATTCATAGGCGGGAAGAATAGTCGCGACCTGAAGTGATTCCATTCCGGACCTTGGCACAGACGCAACGCAGATGAGTACCCGAGACAACTATAGGTGTGTTGACATTGCTCTAGCGCCCATCCTCCTTGTCGGTTCTCATCACTTGAACTATATAAAGATCCTCACTGCACACCTCCATAGTTTTCAGTAGTAGTAGGATGAATTTGGTGTCCGTTCGCCGTACCGCTCATCATGCACTGCAACCCCTACCTGATCTTTCTCGGCGCCACATTGTTCGATCTGATCCTAGCTATCGTAATTCTCTCGCTCTTCGCAACCGTATACCCCGACCGCTTTCGAACCGTGCTTTGGCAAGAAGGTGGCACTAAAGGCTGGAACTCCGACCCTCATCAACGTGTCTACGACTATGCAAATTATCGCAAGTCACCGCCGATACCCTTGATATGGGATGAAAGGTCTGTTCGAATGTTCTGCACACGATAGCAATGCAGGACTCTGATACCTCAGGCAGCTGTACTTTATGCAACCTATGCATCGCAATCGTAACCCTGTTCATCTGGCTCGTTCGCTTCTCAATCATGTCTTTCAGCAAGCAGGCTCTCGACTTCTACGCTACAATCACGGTAAATGCATTATATGACATCTTGCTTGCAGGACTGTGGATATACAGTGCATGTCTCCAGGACTTGGGCGACTTCTCAGATCCAAAACACATTAGTCTACGGCCCTGGTATTTGGAGCGCGGGTGTTCGGAGGTATCACCGTCAACTCGATATGGGTGCGAGCTCATGAGATGTTCATACGGACTATCTGTATTTGCTGCGTAAGTCAACCATGCTATCTTTCAAAACGCGCAAGAGCTTTCCCGCAGCTGTTTCGCTGACACTGTAGCTTCTCTAGCATCTGGTTCTGTCTTCGGTTCTCATTAACCTGCTTTTACCGTGTTTATCTACTTGGCCGAAAGCACGAGCTTGAAGATAGGAAGAGCAGCTACAGTGACCTCTTGTAATGTACACAATCTCAATCGCATCCTGTGGTTTGACGATATTTGGTCTGCTAAGCCGATGATACCTTACGACACCGCATCACTATTCAACCAAGGGAAGCTCGATATCACTGCCGATGGTGTCGTTGAGGCAGTGTCAGGAAAGCAGTCGAGAGTGCATGTTGCTAATACCAACCTCGGTGTTATGTTCTTGACTCGTGGTTAACAATACCCAGACTTTCAACAACTCGACCATGCTCTCATTTGGGGATTGTCGGGGCATTCCTGGTAACAAGAGAAGAGAAGAGACGCAAAATGCTCTGTGACCTGGAGGCGGACCGGTCCATCCGAAGTGGGGCAAGTCGATCCCGTCAGCGCCCACCCAACCTTTCTGTCCTTCTTTGCCATTATCGCATCAGGCCCAGAATGATCGAAAATTCTAGTTCAAATTCTGTCATAAGGTTTCAACTGGATACGTAACGTCCATAGAGAACCGGGAGCTCTTGTGGGAATGTGGCCACCCCAGAACCAGCGACCGCCGATGAGGACGACACAACACCACAAAGCTTTCAGTGTCGAGCAAGTTCCTCATATTTACGAATCACCACATTCGTAACTTTGATACGTAAACTATGATGAGCTTAGGCGTTTATCTACAGAATGACATGAATTTGTCGCAAGGGCTAGTACCCAACAAGCTATAATCTTGGCAGACAGTGATGCTTTAGGAGTCAGCATACTTCAGGAGGTATATTTTGAGTGACACATGGCAGCATTGTTGTATTCGCACTCCTCTTTCGTAGTTGGAAGAGAAGGAAGCTTATAAAAAGGACTCTAGGTTTTCATGGAGTGCAGTGAAAGGTTCTCTGCGAAACGCCTACTGGGCTAATCACAATCACCGTCACTGTCGCCGTCACCTGCTCCGTCACCTGGTTGATCCTTTTCTGCTGCATTGTATTGCACAGCCTGGGCGCTATACATGGCGCTAGCCTTCACGCCCGTTTGCGTTTCTATAACCTAGCCTACGCGTAAACTCTCATCTTCTTCGCAATCCAACCTCTGCACACCCAACAATAACACTTCCTTACTCACACAGTGTTAATCATCGTTGATCAGCCTCTTATAAACGTTCAATTTGCAAGATCCTAGACCTTCCGCACCAACACCCAACGCACGCCATTTGTGCAGCGCAACGACCCAGCGTTAAGAGGTATGTTCTCCCTTTCACTTCGACGTCATAAACCCCACGTTGTCTCACACAATAATTCAGTAAAACGGCTTGTCTTTGTTACCAAAACCTTACACACTCAACATCGAACTTTCAATTGACGGTATCATATAGCCAACCCCCATACCAAGAAACATCATGAGCTCTATTCCTCCAGGCGAGCGCAAGAAGAACGCAGCTACGATTCTACGTCTACTCACCGAGTGTCGCGACAAGATATCCGATGACTGTCCTGAGCCGACACTTAAACTTCCAGACTCAACTATTCGCGATTATGTCAGGAACATTGAGAACCCTGTATGCGCCAGCAAGAAGACGGATCTAGAAGGATATCTTCAGACAATATCAGCTCTCGTTGCTAGAATCGAGGAAATCGGCGATGACCTCCCGACTGGATGGCAAGATTTCTCGAATTGGCTGCGCGAATGCACCGTCTACCTAAAGGGCACTACACCTCACGTCTCCACTGGCCGACCGCCACTGACAGTCATCTTTGGCAACTCAGATACTGGAGCGAAGACCACAGACAAGCCTTTCTCGTTCAACGTATCTGCCAAGCCCACAGAGAAGACCTCGACTGGAAGTTCGTCTGAATCTTCATCGTCTCCTAGCCCCACAACCAGGGACGCCTCTCCTGTTCAACTCAGCTTGTTGCCACCTGAGTCCTCCCCGAAGTCTACTCCAGAAAAGACTGGTCCAGTGGTATCATCCACCAACGACGGCAAGCTGGAGACGATCTTGAGGCTCCTGCAGGAGGAGAGGACTGCGAGAATCGAGGCCGAAGCCAAGAGGGCCGACGCTGAGGTCAAGCAGAAGCAGTCGCACGACGAGGTTCTTCAACGAATTGCGAGCCTCGAGAAGACCAACCTTTCTACGAAGGCAATAGCCAACAAGCAAAAGGAACTCGATGAGCGTGCGGCTTCCCTCTCCAAGCGCGAGGAAGCAGTGGAGGCACTTCAAGCTAAGCTTGAAGCAGACATATCAAGGCAAGCGGCCACAGAGAAGGCCTTCATCGTCAAATCTGAGGAGGTTGACAAGGATTTCGGCCAGATGCAAGCGAAGCTTGATCGTATGGAGAAGGAGGCTAAAGCACGGCTGGCAAAGACGAAGACCCCTATCGCGTCAGCCGCGAAGCAGAAAGAGTCTGTGAAGCCTACAATTGTTGTGTCTCCCTCCCATTCCAACGACAGAGTCGTTTCCGAGGCCGACAAGATCGCTGGACCGAAGCGCAAGTCTGTGAGCCGAATCATCGCAATCCTCAACAAGGCTTTTCCTGCGAATGAGGCAATCATTGTCTTCGATGAGCTGAAGCACAAGACTCTACGCGTCTTCAAGGTCGGAAAAGCGCAGCGCAAGGACTTCGAAGTTCAGATTGACAAGGTACTGACACTGTACGGGACACCGGCATCGAAGCGTGAGCAGCACGTCGCTATGCTGATTGACTTGATCAACTTCGAGGATGCTATCGGCCGTAACGATGACGGACTGTATGGTCTTCTTAATGTTACTGTCAAGGATGCAGCTATCCAATACGCCAATGATGGACTTTCCAAGTGGCTCTTCCACCACTACATGTGGTTGGACTTCGACAAGGTTTTTGCACAGCACGGCAACTTGCAGTCCATCAAGACCATCGCAAGCCTGGGAACGTCTCTCTTTGACATGGAGTTGGCCTTGAGTTCTGCTGAGCAGCCGGACGAGTTCGATGAAGAGATCACCGCTACGCCGTCTGAAATTCTCGAAAAATATCACGGGATATTCAACGAGTACGGGTCAGCTCTACGCCACTTTCTGAGCGCCGTACCCGAGTCATCACCCATGTATGAGCTGGTCAAGGCCCATGGTGAGCGCGAGGGTTTTATTACATATGATAGCTGGTACAAGGCGGTTCGCAAGTTCGATGTCAGGTTTTGAGCAAGTCACGACCTTGACAACCTGTGTACAACACATTCCACACGACACATAACGTACATCCCACACCCTACGACATACGACTTACAACTTTCACGACATATCATCTAACAAGATGGAGCATCATATGCACATCTTGGATCGCTGCGATCACATCCGACAGCCTTCAGACCACGATGAAAGATCACACACACACATGGTGAGACGGAGCATCACATGCACGTTTGAATCAAGTGTACCCTGACCGAACAACAACACACCCATTGAGCCGTAACATTGTACGCACATTCAGATCCCATCACGATGCAAATGAAACGAAACAAAAGGTACTGCTGCCTGAGAGAGCAAACCAAAAAGGAAGGTGGGTTTGAGACGTGCTCACGTGCATGTTTCAATTCACATATCCAAAACATACATGGGGAAAAGAGAAGAAAAAGAAAAATGGTGTATGCTGCCTTGATGAGCCAACATTGGGAGGAAACAAAGATTTGGAAACGAGGCGTGGTAGCATGATAGGCGCGCTGCGCAAGTGAGTTAGTGATAGGATTACCATAGGTGGTGTGGAGGCGTCTAGACATGGCACTATCTGGCCTGCAGGATATGATGAACACGTTAAACCTTGATGCCAAAGATAATCATGTCATGTTTCTGAAGCAATGTCACCAACAAACAAGACCATCACCATAGCAGACAGCAGACAAGTTTATGTGCAGAGTTAAGAAACACATTGAAGTTACTCTATATGGTATCTGCCCTTCCAAGTCCAAATTTCATTCCAATCCCCATCATTACATCAATCGCGTCGGCATCGAAAGGTTAACATGAAAAGGGGGGTATTAGGTGCTGCAACCGAAAGTGGACACTCAACAAGACACTAAACTACGTTGCGGCGATGACAACAAGATGAAAAGCAATCGCTGCATATATGGGTATATCCTCATCCCATCCCGCTGGAAAAACATGTGTGTGTATACGTAAGGAAAAAAAGAACAAGGAGAAAGAGCTGAGAAGCTGCAGATGGGTAATTTCGGTCTCCGTTGCGGTGACGTGTAGCTCGCTTCATCTAGGGGTGCAGGGCGGATAGTAACACCAGGACCCAGAGATGAATAGCGAGGTTCGGAGTCACCTTTTGCGGTGCTTTATGGTTTGTTTGTTTCTTTCTAAGGAGAGTGCCGTGCGAGAACCGGGCCGGCCGGGTGCAGGAAATTGTGTGTTATTATGCGCGGAAAATGCGCGGTAAGAGTGAGACACCGAATCAAATTCAGCCCCAGTTGTCGACATCGCCCCATGTGCCGCCCATGTCACGGTGCGAGACCATGCTATGTTGGGAGATGTTGCTGGGTCGTCGTCTCATGATGAGCCGGGAGAAGCGGTTCTGGTGTTCGTCTTTAGGAGGTGGGGGTGGCGCTTGTTCCAATTGCACGCCACGGTGGCTCGAATTGTTCGAGATGTTAATTAGTTTGGGAACGTATCGACGCGAAGTCGGAGTGCTAGGTGACTGTTGTTGCTGTTGCTGCTGCAGGAAATTGGGCGGGAGGCTCTGGCGAGGGTAGTGCGCGAAGTTGGCGTACTGCGACGTGGGTACGGAGACGATCTCTTTGGGCTGCTGGTAGTCCATGTACTGCGCTGGTTGTTGGTAGTTCAGTAGGTCAGGCGTCGATGCAAAGCCGGCATTTGACCAGTTTTGTTGCTGTGGCTGGAAGCTCTGCGCCATAGGTTGCGAGAAATCCGTTGGCATCGAAGTCATGGTGGTACCGAAAGCGTCGAAACCGCCCATCGAAGTAGCCGCGCTCATGGAATGAGACATATCGGTGCTGACAGGCCATTGAGATGGCTGCATCTCCTGGTGATGCATCGGCTGCGGAGGCTCCACCGCATCGATATCCATCATCATATGGTCGGACGGTAGCCCGTGAGAGCTGTGGAGCCTGTTGTCAGTGCCGAAGTCAGACGCTTCCAGCTTAAACTCCACCATCTCGCCTTGACTGTTGTCAACAGACTCTGCGGCTTCGGGGGTGACCTCTGTTGTGGGTTCGACGACGTCCTTGACCTCGATCTCCGCCAAGTCATAAGTGTCCTGCACCAGCTTCTCGATATCGTAGGAGCGGGTGTCCCATTTAGTTTCGAGCTTGTACCGTAAACGGTTGCACTTCTTAGACTCCCATGACAGCGACGGCCAGTTCTGTTCGTCTCCATGACGATCGAGCATCATCTGGTTCCACGCGTTGGCGACTTCGGGTTGCTTCAAGAGACCAAGGACGACATTCGTGAAGTTCCACTTGGATGCACCCTTCTCTTCAAAATGAAGCGCAATGTGCTCGCATCGTTCCTCCCAAGTGGTCAAAAGAGAAGCACAGAAGCCACAACCCCATGCGTCCTTGTCGTGCATGACGATCTCGTACTTCTTGACGCATGGCGATGCTTTCCTGCTAGTGGGTTGTCCGCTCTCCCTAGGTTGCTTGCAGTGCTCACAGCCCTATCAACGGTTAGCGGGAACGCGGGAAAAAGAAAGGACACTAGACTTACATGTAACTTGGTATGATGCTCACGGAAGCGCTTGCCAGCATGGAAGATCTGTTCGCAGTCGGGACATCGCCATGTGAGTCGCTGCTCGTGAAACTCTTCTTCGTGCGATTTCCAGTACGGCTTCGACTTGAGCGCCTTGTCGCAGAATGTGCAGGCAAAGTTCTTGGGCGCAGGTGTCGATGCGGTGGATATTGTAGAAAGTCGGTTTGAAGATGCGGTAGAAAGGCGTGAGGATGCAGCGCTGTAGTGTGTGAAAGAGGAGTCGGTGGATGCGATGGACGAGCGCGGGTCGGACATCATACTGGGCACTCTGCTGGAGGGGACGCTCAAGTATGAGGACGCGCGGCTTCCGACAGTCGACATAGACGACCTGTCTGCGGCCGAACGACGCATGCCATCTGGATACGCATGAGCAAATAACGCGCCGCCAGGGCTGTTATTCGACTGACCTCCATTGCGCGCAACGGATAGTAGCTGGAGGATTTGCTGGTCGTCAAGGTGCTTCAGCGCATTGACGTGGTCAAAGAGCTGAGGTGCAAACTGGTTCTGGCCAGAGTGTCGAGGGGAGGAAGTAACGCTCTCGGTCACGCTGCTCAAGGGAGTGGTGCTTTGTAGACTGCGACGCGGTCGCTTGAAGGAGTTGCTCTGCTGAGGAGTCTGGAATCCGTAAAGTTGAGCCTCGTCGGCCTCCATGTTATCCTATGTGTGTGTAGAAGGCAGTATCATGCCGGAAATGAGTGGTTCACGGGCCGTGTTGGGCGGGAAGAGCAGAGGTGACTATGAAAGGGAGGCGAGTGCGCGCGAAATGGAAGCGTTCGAGAAGCTTTCGACAAAGGTATACGGATGGGTATAAGCTCAATTCTTAGGCCGTCAGGAAGACATTGATCGTCCAATTTCCCGGGCGGAGACGGACGGCTCTTGTTTAGAAGAGCAGCACCCGTGGTCTGTTTCACGGGTTTCAAGAAGGCACTAAGAGACTGCCTTGGCATGCAGGCACCCAGGCACGCATGCCTGGTCACTAAGCCACACCCTTCCGGTACTAGAACATGCAACTATGGCACGGAGAGTTTCCCACTATGCAACGACTCCCTCTAGTCGTCAATAATGCCCTCGGTGATCTCACTCTCCTATTGCGATCTGAATTTGTGAGCGCGTCAAGCGTCGCGATGCTCTAAGGGAGATCGCCGCGACGGCGCTGCAGGGACCCCAGCGCTTCCACCCTAGGGCCGCATTCTCAGGGGTAATTTAGCAGACCACATGAAACGCGCATCTGCTCGCCATCTGAAAGCTGTCGTACCGCTCCACCTGGCTGTCGAACGCGTAAAAGGTATCTGGAGCCGTCGCTTGCATCAGCCGTGACCTAAGCCCAACTCCTCACCCCACCATCTACGATCCATCGCGTTGTAAGAGAAGAACGCTCTCGGTCATTGGCCCGAAATTCGTCTCAGCATTTATTCCTGCGAAGAGTGCGGCTCTGGGGATGGTGTTGCAAAAAAGGAGCGTGGCTTTCGGAGGGCGTCCTACAACTCCACACTAGAAAACAAGTCCAGAAGCGTTTCGCAACCAGTTCCGTGAGCAACAAGAGGTGCTTTGTTGATGGTTGCGTCAATAGCTCAATTGCTGCAGCACATCGTGTTCGTTTCGGCAAAAGCCACCAATCGTGCCCCTACATAGTACGCGTAGTAGCGTGTTGGGCGCTTGTTCCTCACATCTGTCGTCATCTTTGAGACGCGAGATAAGGCAAGGAGTTCTGCAGATCCCGCATAACGTCGAATGATCGCTCCAGCATGGTCGCGAGCAGTCAAGGTGAAAGCGGCCCTTGTAAGATCTGCTTGGCTGGCAACGGTATTTCTGGGGTACGTTACCGACGAAGAACGGGTGCTATTTTTGGCGGAACGCGATGGTCCGATCGCAACAGGTAAGACGTCTGTAAAACGTCAACTTGCTCTTCTGCTATGACCACCAACTTGCATAAGTCGAAACGCGCCCGCTGTAAAGAGGACTGACCACCAGTGTGACGATGTATGATCATCGTGAATATGAGCTGACCAAGCGGGTGTTCTGCGGCGCCGCTGCGTGTGGTCGTCGTGGTGCGTGCCCAAGGTATCCATCCAGGCAGTGCACGAGTTCATGCGAAGCAGCTCCTACACTCCGTGACTTTCCCATGCATCAAGTTCAAAAAGCAAAAGGCTAGCAACAGGTGGGGTCGCCAACACTTCTGATTCACGCGTATAGGTTGTTGTAAGCGAAGACGATTCAGATCCTATGAAACGTGATCAGGCCTCCATCTTGCGCAGGCCAACTCGAACCTTCAGCGACGGGATGGAGAGATTGCATGGAAGTGTGCATTCATGCTGATGTTGAGCTGTGTGGCGGAGCGTATCCTGCAGCGGGTCCAGACGCCTGCTAGTTAAGAAACGAGGCGTAAGGCTGAGGCACTCGTAACGACGCACCTGGTGGACGCTTGTGAACAAATT